ATCTCAGTGTCTGTCCCTTCCTCTCGCTCTGTCCGTCTGTCTTCCTATATATTCACTTCTCTGGAAAAGAGAGCAAATGGCAACCCCCATGACTTGTAAACTCTTCAGCGTGTACTTCTTAAGAACAAGGGCATTCTCTTGCATCACCACGCAAACTTTTCAATTTGGGGAATTTAACACTGAATGATACTTTTATCTACTCTACTGTCCGTATTTCAGCGTCACAATTTATTGAGCCAGGGTCCTTAGCGTGGCCCTGTGTGGTGTCCAGTGACGGCCAGGGTCACACGTACTCAGTCATCAGGTTCCTTGCGTCTGTGCAGCTCCTTATCCTGTGCATCTCCCACAGCCTGTCTGGGAGGAGAGCTCTGTTTTTGTTTTAATCAAGTCATCTCATGTGGGGTTTGTCTGGTGCTGCCAGATAAAAGGTTTTGGTTACACAGAGTGGGAACATGACATGGTGACTTTGCATTCCCGGGGTGGGATCCTCCATTTTCAGGGGTTCACTGAGCTGTGGAACCTCTAAGGACTAACCTCCCTGAGTTACCTGTAAAAACTTTGATCAGATTTTCAACACAGGGTAAGAAGGGCACTGTTACTTCTGTGTGCTTTTTTATCTCTGCTGACCCGGCTTGGACTCTGCCCCCATCTCTTTCCTTCTCTCCCTCCTGCCACCAAACATGCCCTTGAAATTGAAATTGAAATTCAGTGACTCCTATTGACAGCATTCTTTTTTTGTGTGTAAAGATTTATTTCATTTATTTATGCATATAAGAAATTGGGTGTAGGCCAGAGGTGCGGGGTAGGATGGGGTGAGAGGATTCACCAGAGACAGAGTGGGGAGCAGAACAGGCAGAGCTATTGAAATTCACACTGAGGGGAGCAGTGGGCGAGACAGGCGAGGTCTGCTGCACCATGTGGGTAGCTCCCTTGCTGGCTTGGGGATGGAACTCGTGCTGCAGAGGCTGTGGATAGCTTTATAGTGCTGTGCTTAACCCCTTGTGCCACCAGGGAGGCCCTATTTTCAGTCTTTAGGCAGGTCAGTGATGAGGGCCACCTCTGGGAGGCAGCGGAGCTGAGTGAGCCACCTGGGAATGCTGGGCCTTCCACCTCACTTCTGGAAATCTGGGAGGCCCCTGTATGAGGAGGGCTTTTGTGTTTGAGGCAGACTTTACCAGGGCCTGGAAACAAGAGGAGCCTTAAGGACAGCTTTCCTGCTCAACCCTAATTCTCTCTTCCCTCCTTCCTGCTGTCAAAATGCAGCCCCATTTTCTTTCATTCAATATTTAAGTCCTGTAATGGGAATAAAGAAATGGAAAAGGCAGTCTCTGCCTCGGATAAAGAGAGAGATAGATCATCACCTGCTTTGACAAAGACTTTCAAAGAGGTTTCACTAAAGATCTGAAGACCTGTTAATGCCCTGTTAGTGAGGATGTGGGGAGACAGGTGATCTCATCCATGCCGGAGGCTGCAAATTGGTCCAAACTTTTTAGAGGGCAATTCTGTGAGAAATCTATGCAAAATGTAAAAGTGCATAACCTCTGACCCAGCAATGTCATATTAATATTTGTCTTACAGATAGACACATAACTGAAAACAAGTATATGTACCAGGAGATTTCCTGCAGGCAGCATTGTTTGTAGTGACAAAATAAATATCCACTAGGAGGGGGAGAGTGGAAGAAATTGTGCCACACCCATACGATGGTGTTCTGGAAGACTACACAAACCTTGCACAGGCAGTTATGTTATTAAGTGAAAATAACAAGGTGCCAGACAATGTGAAGAGTGTGGTATCCTTCCTAGCAAACACACACACACACACACACACACACACACACACACACACACACACACAAACACAGTTTGTAATACCCAAAATATCATGGAAAAGATACATTAAAGCTGATGTTCAGCCTCCCTGGTGGCGCAAGTTTTAAGTCTCAGCACTACAAAGCTATTGGCAGCCACTGCAGCACGAGTTCCATCCCTGGCCAGGGAGCTACCCACATGGTGCAGCAGACCTCTCCTGACTCACCCGCTGCTCCTCTCAGCAGTGTATTTTGGTCAGTCTGCCTGTTTTGTTCTTCACTCTGTCTCTGGTGAATCCTTTCCCCCCCTGCACCTCTGGCCTACATGCCATTCTTATACGCATAAATAAATGAAAAAAAAACTTAAAAAAAAAAAAAGGCAACAACTGAGTCATGGGGAGCAGAAGGGAGAGAGGACATTTCCAGGGAACGAATCACCTGAGCTCTGAGTGTCCTCGTGGACTGCATAACCCCTCCATTGGAGGTGGCAAGGTGACAATAGTCCAGAAATGTCACTGCCGCTGTGACTCTGTCTCCATCACTACTGGCCTCGTGCCTCGCCTTGGCTGTCATGCCGCCTGTGCCCAGCAGGGGGAAGCACAGACCCACCAAAGCATTGCTTCCAGGCCTCACCAAGCATCCCTTCTACGATTTCCTCCTCTGTGGACCCTGATGGGAAAGATATTTCCTGCTAAGTCAACCAAATTGATTAAGCAATAATTAAATCTTCTCCTTTTTTGGGGGTAACACACAGTTCTGATCTGAGAGACAAAGGCTTGTTGACCTGATCATTTTCCAGAGAAGAGGTGCTACTTAGCCCAGGCCTTGGGTGGAGGGTGATTGGCAGTGACATGCCCAGGGAGTGAGGGTGCAGGTTGGCAACTAGTGTATCAGGGGCTCCTCTCCCTGCTTGGGTTGTCAGCTGCGGGGCTCAACTCCCCACCTCTCCTACCCCTCAAAGAAGCAGTTTCGGGGCACAAGAAAGCATGAACACCTGGCCCACCGGCTGCCGGGTAGCAGACACTCTCCAGATGTGTTGAGCGTCTGTGCTTGGCTAGGCGCTGAGCAGCTCAGGGCTGGGACACTTCTGTCTGCCACAGAATCTCTGGGAGTGGGCATGGTGTGGGCATGGTGTGGGCACACAGCTGTGCGAAGCTAAGGCTTGCTGGAAAGAGACTGTCCATTGGGAGATCAGGATTTACATTTCTTAAAAAAAAAGAAAAAACGGAGTCCTAGCTAATCTCAAGGGCAAGAACCCAAGAGCAAGACTCCAGGCTGTCTAGGCTGGAAGCTAGTGCAGTGGGCAAGAATGGACCCCCTTCCCAGCGCACCCAAGGTGGATCCTGCTTTGTGTTACTGAGGAGGGGTCCCCTACTGGGACATGAAACTAACGCATGAGATTAACACCCAACCTTGTGACCTTGGCAGAAGAAAGGCTTAAATCAGGTCATTCTGGGGAAGGGGCTGGCTCTTCCCAGGGCCTCCCTTAAGACAGGAGAATTACCTTCCCAGCTCCTGCTTAATCTCGTTTCAGTGGTTCTGATTTTGAGAGGGAGGATAGGAGGAAAAGGAGGCTATAAAGGAAGGGGACACGGATGACCTCTGGCCTGGCTTATGGAAAATCCAGGGCTCATCAATGGGTCCTCCCTTCTCAGTGCCTTGGTAGTGCAGGGAGGGGTCAATTGGGGGTCCTCACACATAAATGGGGAACAAGAGGAGCAACTGAAAGAAAAGGGCTTACATTTAGGCTGCAGAGTGTGGCCAGCCCTGGGGTTCTACACCTTCCTTCCCTGCACCCTCCCCCCCCCCCAGCGCTTACACTCTGATCCAAGCAGGATAAGACCGTGGTGAGGGGCGAAGACAGCGGCTCTAAGCAGTGTAGATTTGGGAGGTGGACAGAGAAGCAGCCGTTTCTGCCACTAAATAGCTGTGTGTTGGTGGGCCAGTCACTAACCCGCCCAGCCTCCTTTTGCAGGTCCTGTGAATGAGGTTACCATACCTGCCTTACCTGCTCATGGTCAGGATGAATGACAGAGACCTCTGCGAGCATTTCTGCAATTGCCAGACAACAGGGACTGTTATTCTCGAAGGCGAGAGGCCACCCTAAGTCTCTGGAGGTGACAGCATCAAGAAGATTGTTCCCCTCCGCGGAGCCAGCTCCTTTCCAGCCTAAATGCCGGTTTTAATCCTCCCAGCCCCAGCCCCCGCTTCTCCTTGAGACGGCTCGAGCTTCCCAGCGCGGAGCCTGCCCTTTTCCTGGGGCTCCCACATTCTCCAACCACAGCGCAGTTGGTCCAGGGTGGGACAGGTCGCGGGTGTCTGCTGGCCTGGTTCTGCGCCCCCTACCCTGCTTTGGGGTTCGCCTTTGCAGATGGTTCTCTCTGGCCCTCAGCTCATCTCTGGGTTAAACACAAGAGGAGAGAAACAAGGGTTGGGGGACCTGGAAGGGGGTTTCCACTTCTCGGTAGGAGACCAGAGAAGGGGACGCAGCCCTTGCGCCCCAACGCCACACGGTCCCGCGTCTCCAAGCCGGGTGCAAATTCTCCACCCGGAGGTTTGTCCCTCCGGTGCCCAGGCCGCGACCCTTTGCAGACCCCGCCAATCCCGGTCTCCCCGAGCGCCGGAGCCTGCGGTTCTAGGACCCGGAGGCGCCGCCGAGCGCGCGGCCGCCGTCTCTGCCTCGCCGGGGTCGCCTCCCGCTCGGGCAGGTGAGGCGGCGCGGGCCGCCCCCTCTGCGGCAGGTGAACCCGGCCGGCAGCCCCTCCCGCGGCGCCATGGCTGCGGCCGACCCCGGGCCGGCGCCCTGCGCCCGGGGCCCGCCCCCTCCCTCCAGCCCGCCCCCCCGGGGCCGGGTGCGCCGCGGCGGCTGCGAAATGCGGTTTGCGCGCACGGGGAGCGGCAGCAGAAGTTAGAGTCGCCGAGGGGGGAGCCCGCGCCGCAGCTTCCTGCCCCGGCCCAGCCCTCCGGCCCCGCGGCTGCAGCCTGACTTCCTCCCCCCGCGCCTGGCCGCCGCCGGCAGCTCCCCCGGCCGCCCCGATGGGACGCCGCGCCCCGGCCCCCGCGCGCCTCTGAGCCCAGCCCGCCGCCCGCGCCGCCCGCCTCGCCCCCCGGGCCGGAGCCTCGCCCCCGGCCCCCCGGAAAGCTGGATTTCCGAGGCTGGAGGCGCCTGACCGGCTGGGTGGGGACCACCATGGGCAACGCGGCCGGCAGCGCGGAGCAGCCCGCGGGCCCCACCGTGCCGTCCCCCAAGCAGCCCGCGACACCCAAGCAGCCCGCGGCACCCAAGCAGCCGATGCCCGCGGCCGGAGAGCTGGAGGAGAGGTTCAACCGGGTGCTGGTGAGTGTGACCCGCCCCGCGCAGGGCGCGGGCGGGGGGCGCGGGGGCTCGGCGCGCGTCCCCGCCCTCGGGGGCTCAGGTGCCGCTTGGAGATCCCCGGCCCGGTGACAGCCCCGCCATGGGTGGGAGTGACTGTGGCTTCTCTCACAGTGACTTAGCACTCTGCACCCCAAACTTTCTTCTGCAATCGCCCAGTTTTCCTCCCCAAGACACCCCCTCCCGCCACGTTCCTGGGTCTAAAGGTCTGAAAAATGTCCTGTGAGGAAGTTGGGAGTGGAGCACGTGAGGGGGGTCCCGGCACCCCCTTCCTCACCGTTCCCAGGCGCAGCCATCGGGCGCCCGCAGGGTCTGGAGCATCCGCCTGCGTCTCGGGGTCAAAGATGGAAGGGGTTACATTTTGACCTCCTGGGAGCTGGAGACCCGCTGGAGGTGCTTGCTCCTGATTTGGTGGTGCCTGGGCTGCTGGGAGCTGCATGTCAGCGCGTGCAGAGGGGTGTCTGCGTTCTTCTATCCCCATCTGCCCCGAGAGATTCCTGGTGGGTCCTTATCTCCAGCATCCACTCCTACCCACTCAAGGGATTCAGGCTAGGAAGGGAGGCTGGGGGTGAGTCGGTCATGCTGGATTGGGGTGGGGTGGGAATCTGGAAGCTCCCTCCTCACTGTCTCCTCCTAGGAACTGGGGAGCCATCAGCTCAGGCTGAGTCTGGAGGCTGTCAGCGTGTTTGGTGATGTGGGGACTCCAGATCAAAGCCAGGGCTCCCTAAGTCTTGGTGGCAGGCAGAAGTTGGGAGGGGAAGAGCCCCTTATTCTCACTTCCTTCTCCTACCTCAGCCTGTCCCAGGCTCCCTCTGTAAGTGATTGTCTGGTGGCCTGTCTGGGATCATCAGCCTTCCTTGCCGGACATGGGTGACAGGCAAACAAGGCTGTGCTTTTCCCCAGAGGCACTTCCCAGGCGGCCACTGCAGGTCTAAGGGTGGGGTCCGAGGGAGGCCAGGCAGCTGAGGGATGCTGGCTGCTGTCAGGCTCAATTCTTCCTCCCTCCACCTCCTTGACATCATTTCCTCTCCCCTGGCCAGTTCTTAGGCCATACTTGCCAGCTCCTCTGCGCGGCCCCTCCTAACAGTTCCTGCAAATCTTGGCTGCTGCCCCCTCCCAAGAGGAAGGCCAAGAGGGTTTTGGAGGCTGTATGGGCTGGGCTGCGCTGGGGTCCGGTGGAACCTCGTGAAGGCACCTTACTTGACCAGGGGACAAGGAGGGACTCTGAGGGATACTCCATACCAGGATGGGCCCTGAATCACCCCCTCTTTCCTCCTGTTCCTTGTTCCCCAAACCCAGGGACTGGCACAGCTGAACTAGTTGAGCAGATGGGGAAGAGGGGAGAATAAGGAGACACAGTCTTTGGGGGCCATCTGGGGAGCCTGGGTTGGTGGTGGATCCCTGGACCCCTGCCAACCTGATGGGGGGGATAGGTCTGTCCCCCCAGTGTGTGCCTGTGGATGGGGGCGGGCAGCTTCTCAGAGTGAGGCCCAGGCCCTGGTGGATGCTCATTTACACCGCTGGTGGGGAAAAGCCGTGTGAATAATTCAGACCAGTGGAAAGTCCAAAAGTCAATCAGTGAGGCTCTGACGCCTGCATGGACTCAATTGCCCTTTTAGACGTCACTCTGGTTTGGGAGCTGGCCCTCCCTCCCACTCGGAGCCCCTTAGCACCCGGTGCAGGGTGGAGGCCCAGAGCTGGGTCTTAGAGGGTGTTGCGGTGGAGAAAGGGGTGGTTAGAAATCTGGGGCAGCAGCTCTCCCTTCCCCTGCCCCCTAGAGGTCCATCTCGCACACCCCCCCCAGCCCCTAGGAGCCCCAGTGTGTTTACACTTCACCTTCTTCCTGGGGAGGGATCGGTCTGTTCCTTGTCCTATTCTAGGCAGAACACACCCAATTCAAGGGCGCTTGGCTAGGAATGGCCTCTAGGAGTCCTGTCCTTAGTGAATGGCTAAGAGAAGAGCCTGCTGGGGTCCCTCAGGGTTCCCATTCTTGTTGGGAGAGGCTAGCCCTCCCTTGGGCCCCATCACATGGCCTCAGGGAGTCTCTTCATTTACTCAGCCTTTTCATCCCTTGTGGGCAGTAGGCTCCCCAAACCCTAAGCCACTCCTCTCCTGCCTCTGGGACCCCTCTTGTGGGTGAGGGGTTCCATCCCCAAGGCTGGCAGCCAGACAGGAGACAGGAGCCAAACAGGGGATGGGCAGCCTTCTCCCATGCCAGGGGGGTAGGAGGATGGGGGCAACCTTTCCAAGGAGGCCATGAGAAAGAGGGGGTGCCCATACTTATAATGGGAGTGGGTGGGGAGGAAGAGCAGGTTGAGCCAGGGTTTTAGGCTGCTGCCTTAGCAACAGTGGAGGAGCAATGGCTGCCCTGGCGACACGTGCCCGCTGCGGTGGTGGGAGAACCCGCCAGCCTGACTGCGCATGCGGCCACGGGTGGGTGTTGCCTGGTCACTTCAGACCTTACCCTGCAGGTTAGCCTTGGGGACGGCAGTGCACACTTTCCAGGCCTCCCAGAAGGTCCATGTTTATGGCAGGGTGTAGGACACCCTTGATGTGACTGGGCAGGGCTGGGCAGAACCTGTAACCTTGGGGCACAGAGATCAAGGAAAAGGTGCCCATGATGTGCCTGAGGCTGAGAGTGATGCTGGCCTCCAAGAGGCCAATGGCTGAGCCAGTGGTTGAGCCATTTGGAGAGGGCTCAGTACCCTGGGATGTCCTTAGCGTGTGCACAAGGATGCGGGCACCTGGCCAGACTACGTGGGGAGGTCAGTACGATTCCAAGAAAGGTGGGGAGTTCTGCTTTCAGCCAGACCCCTTCCCTTCTTAGACTGGTGGTGAAGGGACAGGGTGAGGAGAATGCCTCTCTCTGTCTGCCTGCAACCCTGGTACTGCCTCCTTGGCCTGCTCCCTCCTCTGGGGTGAGACAGAGGGAGTGTGGGGGCATGTATCTTGGGGTCACTCAGGCCCTGTGCTCCCATCTCTGGAATATCTTACTTGGCGGTTCCGAATGGATTATGGCCATGTGGTCAGGTGTAGGGCTGGGCCGAGTCTGTGGGGTGACATTCCCAGCCGGCAGGGCTGGCACGCACTGACCCTGGAGGCCGGGGATGTGGTGGGCATGATTCACAGTGACATCTGGGAGCAGTTGGCAAAGAGCAGGGTGAGATGGGCAGGAGCAGGTGGAGCTGCTTAGGGGCCACCTCTGCATTTTCCCTGGGAACTTGGAGCTCTGGAAGGTGGCCGTCCTGCCTCTGAGTAGGGCAGGAGTTACTTATGGGGTAGAGCAGCTTCCTGGGCCTGGCGGTCATGGAGTTTGGGGTTTGAGTATTGTCGTCGCCCTTTATTACCTGTGTGACCTTGAATGAGTTGGCTCCCGCCTCTGAGCATCAGTATCCTCCTGTGCCCAAGGAGAAGGATATCGGTGTGTGTCAGGCTCTGAGGACTGCTGAGGGCAGTGAATAGTGCTTAGCCCCGGCCCTGGCAGAGCAAGTGCTCCAGGAACACCCATGCTGGGAGGAGCAGTGATGTGGGGGTCATCTGGTCCTCGAAAGAGCCAGACCCTTCCTCTCCCCTCCCTCCCCTCCCTTACCCATACCAGCCAGGTTGCCCCGGAGCCCTCAGGCCAGGGTGCCTCCCTGCCATCATGCAGGTCCAGGTCGGCAGCAGCAGTGGGGCCTAGACTGAAAGCTGCCTGAGGCCGGAAACCACCAACGGGAGGGCCCATCTCTTCTGAAGGGTGGGGCAGCGGTGTGCTAACGGTAGCTGTGTGCACATGGGGAGGGGGTGGGGAGGCCTCCACTTCCCTCTGAGAGAGGTTGTGCTGGTGGGGGGGGTTCCCCAGTGAGTAAGAGCGAAGTATGGGCAACAACAGGAAGTGCAGGGTGCTGGGTGGCAGGAAATGGGGTGGCTGTTCCTGGTTCCTCAGATGGGGGTCTGGGGCCAGGCTGACTGCTGACATGTGGGGACCAGGACCCACATTTCTCATTTCTGTCTTTCCCCCTTTTCCCAAGAAAACTGAGTGTTCTTACCAGCTTGCCACCTGGGTCCCCTTGGACATGCACTTGATCACTCTGTGCCTCAGTTTCTAGTTTGTGAATTGGGCTTATACCTTGAAGTCATGTTGTTGAGGCTCAAATAGGGGAACAGATGTAAAGCACTTAGGATGACGGGTGGAGGGTGCTGGTGGTGGTTATCGTCCTGGTTTGCTTTCCTCAGCCTGGATTCTGGGCGGTGCCTGCGCCGCGCTTCCCGTCCCACTTGTGCTTGTTTCTGCCCTGGGGAGCCTTAAACTCTGATGGAAGAGGCTGTTAGCTTTTTTGAGGTTCTCAGCACCTAAGTCTACAGCTGGGTTACCCTGCATCCCATCTTAAGCCTGGGATTGCTTATAAGAGCTCCAGAAAAATCTATATGCCGGAATTTTAAAAAGTGGATAAAATTGATTGTTTTTGGAGATGCGCTGAGAGTTCTAAAACCAAGGTTGAGGCATGTAGAGGGGGTGGGGGGAGATGGATGGGGAAGTGGGGAGTGGAGGACAGAGCTGGCATCTTGGCCCACGCGCTGTGAAACCCCTGTGGGGCTGGTCTGAGATTGGGGTTGATGTCCAAGTGCAAGGGCATCCTGCGGCTGGGGAGCCCCGCCTCAAGGGGGAGGGTGGGCAGGTGGGCAGGTGTGTTGGGACAGAGACTCTGCCAAACTGATAGTGAAACTAGGGGTGTGGCTGTGTCCGATCCCCGTGGGTCTCCAGGGGCATCTCCCCAGATGTCAGCATTAGGGGGTGGCCTCTAGCCTGGCTGAGGCTAGAGGCCCCTCTGGTACCCAGGAAGGTAGGATCAGGGAGGGAGGAGAATGATCTCCGCACATTCCAACAGGAAGAGTGGGGACCATCTCCTTTTTTGTGGGTACCCCTAAAAGACAAATCTCCCTCTTCCTCTGGCTCAAAGTGTTGAGGGCAGCGGGGAGAAGGTTTAAAGGGGCAATTCACTTTCGGTCAAGCCCTGGAGAGAGGCCTGTTTAATCTGGGTACTTTACATACTTCTGCTCGCCACACCATCCCCCACCTTGGGGTCTGCAGTAGAAGCCTCCCTGCTCCTAGTCTGTGAAATGCCTCTTTAGAGGTTACTAAAGAGTAATATTACGTCAAAACACAAAAGTGGGTGCTTGCAGGAGCTCTGTGAGGCAGGAGGAAGTCCACCCATTCTGTGGAGGAGGAAACAGGCTCACGGAGGCCAAGAAGCTGTAGACCCAGGAAGGCGCAGAGCCTGGGTCTTCTGATCTGGCTGTGGCTCCTCCACATCTCAGCTGCCCCTCCTCCGTCCCCTCACATGAGGCAGGTGTACCCCCACAAACACCCCTTGACTTCCCTGTCATGTCCTGTCCTACGGATCCCCGAGCCCCGTCAGCCAACCTTCCACTTGCCATGCAGCCCAGCCTCATGGTGCCACCTCCTGGCTGAGGCTCTGGGTCTGGGGGTCTGTTCCCATTTTCCAGGACGGCCTCATCCCACCGTGAGTGAGTGGCATTGGCTGGCCCCTCTCCCACTCCCTAAGGTGCCCGTCTCCTCGGTGGGCACAGCCGAGGAGCAGCTGCTAATTAGCGCTCAGCGCTGTCAGAGCTATTTCTGATTTCCGAGCCTAAATTTAGCCCGTCTGGCAGGCTGGCATGTGTGCCCAGGGGGCCTGAGGGGGCCCAAGTGGAGAAGGGGCAAAGGGCGTCCTGCCCCCCACCACTATTGGGACAGGTGTGCTGGCCCCCAGAGGGGTGTCCCCACCCACCCGGGAGCAGCCTGAACCCTCCTGCAGGGGTGGACCAGCGCGCTGGTTCTGGGAGCTCCTGGCTCCAAGCCAGCCAGCTCCCCTCTTACAGGATTCTTAACCTTGGGCAGGTCACTAAACTCATCTGAGCCTGCACCTGTGAGATGGGATAATAGGACACCAGTCATGGTGGCAGGATGGCAGGGGGCCCCTGTGTGTGGGCTCAGAACCACGCCCAGCATGGTGAGCAAAACTGGCTACCACTGCCAGGGGTCATTATTATGACTAGTGGCTGCTTCTAAATGTGCCACTGGGGCCATTCCAGGAGCCAACACAGGTCCCTGGGGTGGGCAGAGGCTCAGAAAGACCACCTATGAAGTGACTGGCTCCTCTTAGACTGAGGTGGGGGCTCAGCCACCACCCCACCCCTCTCCCTGCTTCCCCCTTCCCCCTCAGCCCTACCCAGGCCTCTGTGGGGTGGCAAAGGATTAGGAAGAGACCAGGGAGAGAGAGGGGTGAGAGTGAGGCCCAGCCCCAGAGTCCCTTCCTGGGAGACCCTGGCCTGGTGGGTGCTCTGGCTGTGGCAGGTTGGCCCAGGCACCCCTCACCCCTGCAACAGGACCCAACTCCCACCATGAGACAGCAGCAGTTTCCTCATTCCAGGCTCACTTTCGCAAGGGCAGAGGAATGACGAATCTCCATCCCTGGCGGGCTTGAGCGGGGCCTGGTGGATGGTCAATTTCACCTCTCAAGCAGGCCCAGCAGGAAAGCTTGGGCAACATGGGCCAAGAGCACCCAGCTTCCTGTTGTCTGTGGCTGACCTATGGCAGTGATTTTTGGGGTGAGGTCTGGTCAGAGCCCCAGAACTAGGCCCAGCACCCTAGAGAGGAAGCTGGCTGAGGAATCTGGGGTGGGTGTGGCCCCCTCTCTACTCCAGCTGTGACCTCAGGCCATGTGACTGGGGAGGTGTAGTCTGAGCCTCTAGCTGGAGCTGGGGCTGGTGACTGGGCCTCCTGGACTCCGGATTGGGGCTCTGTGGTACTCCCCTTCCCCAGGGGACACTTAGAGCACTTTTAGGGTAAGAACTGATTATGAGGCCTGACACAGAGTAGACCCTCACTAAACCTAGGGTTCACTGAATTGGGGTGAGCTGGCATCATCTTTTGGCTCTAGGGGTCCAGGGAGGCCCTAGTCTTGGAAGCTTATGGTGATTCCTCACCCCCAGGTGGGACCTCTATGCCTGCTCTGTGGGGGAGAATCTTGATAGAGACACCTCGACTTTTGCAGCCAGGGGAGGGGAACCAAGCAGAGCAAAACTGACTTTTCTCCACTCAGAGGGGAGTCCTGGCCCGGGCGTGGCACCACAACCCTGTGTTGACTGGGGTCCCTTGCTCCCCTGGTGGCTTGCCCTTCCCCAGGAAGCCCTGGTGACACAGGAGCTCCCTCCCCAGCTGGTCCCCACCCAAATGACCCCCTGATCGCAGATGGGAGAATGAGTCTAGAGGTGTCTGAAGTCCCCAGGAAGTTAGGCTGAGCACCCCCACGCCTGTGTCCATGCCAGGTCTGCCAGGAGGCTGTGAGGACAGAGCCCTGTCCCTGGAGTCAGACCCAGCATCCTATAATAATAAAAAAAAAAATAATAAAAGAACAACACAAAAAAGAAAAAAAGCAACAACAAAAAAGAAAGATAAAAACAAAATCAAATCCCAGCATCCCTTCGGGAGAGCTGAGTGGTGGGGCCCGGGGAAAAGTGCACCCCCTCTGGGCCTGGGTTTCTCATTGGCTCAGGCTGCTCGTTGCTGGGGTGAGAGGGACTCGGTTCACGTGGGTGACAGACGTGCCAGGGGCCTGGCCTCTAGGCCTACCAGGGGCCTGGCTTGCTCAGTGGTGCCAGGCTCCCCTCCCCCTCAGGGGGCCCGGACTCGGGGTTTTTACCTGTCATTCCTCTTCCCCAGAACTGCATGAACCTGCCCCCAGACAAGGTCCAGCTGCTGAGACAGTATGACAATGAGAAGAAGTGGGAGCTCATCTGTGACCAGGTGGGTACCAGGCCCTCCCTGCCATCATCAGGCCCCTCTGCCCCCTGGGGCTGGCAGGGGTGGGGCTCCGCCATGCTGCCCTTAGGACTAACACCCAGCCCAGACCGATGGGGAGGTGCTGGGTCATCTGCAGGACTCTGGAACCCCCTGTCTTGCACATGGCTGTCCTCAGGGACCTGAAGAGCTGGCAGGCGCTAGTCCAGGTGTAGCTGAGCATCCGGGAGCAGCCTCTGGTGACCCTCCAGCTCTGGACTGGACAAGAGCAGCACTTCTTCATTTGCCCCCAGGGGAAGAGGGGAGGAAGGGGTGGGCATCCTTGTCCTCCTTTTATGGTGGGTCCAGAAGAGCTGTGGTTACCCAAGCAGCACCCCAAAGCCAACCAGTTCCCCAGTAGTGGAGTGGGAGCTAGAAGCCCTGCCTCCAGTGCCCAGCCTGGGTTTGCGGGTTCCATGGGCCTACTTGGCAGCGCAGCCCTTCCAGCTTCTAGGCTGCTGTCCATGGTAGACGGGAAGCCCCCTCCACCTGCTGGGTGGGGCCTTGGCTGCTGCTGTGGTTTGGTGAGGGAGGAACGCCTATGGCTGAGGCGGCTGGGGGTGGGGCGTTGAGGAGCAGGGAGCCTCCCCTGGGAGTCAGGCCTAGGCCTTCTGCTCCTGCTAATGGAACAGGATGGGATGAGCTGGCTACACAGGAGTCTAGGGGGTAAGGACTGGGCTGTGGGGAGTGGGTGGGGAGCAGCCTCCACAGACTTTGGGGCGGTGGTCAGGGGTCTTTGCCGCTTGGCCTGGCATCTCAGTTTGGGGACTCAAAAGCCGGGGGGAAGTGGAGCTGAAGGGGTTTGAGTTGGGAGGGATGGAGCTCCTTTGGTTAAGGGACTCTGATGTGTGATGTGGCCCCTGACTCTGCGAGTGGCTACTGGAGCCCTGACTGGGACTGGGGCTGAGGAGTTGCTTTAGTGAACACAGGAGGTGAGCACACAACACCAACACTGGGAACTGGAGCCCTGGGGGGGCCTCATCCTGCAGAGGCACTAGGCCCCTTTAAGGCCCCTCCAGAGTGCTCTTCCTTCCTGTGCCCCCAGCTGTGGTCTGGGCTCTGGTCCATGGGGGACTGCAGCCAGCCTGTAGGAGTACCCCCAGCCCCCAGGCTAGGGCGCATGGCTGGACCGACCCCCCCCCAAACCACTCCTGGGCTATGCTAGGGCTGTGGTCAGTGAGGCCATAGTGAGGGGGGAGGCTGGGCCTGGGGTTGGTGTCTTTTAAAGCAGCCTGGTGGATTGTTTCTACCTTTGGCATTTCATGGGGGTCTTCAGACGGTCTGGGACCTCGGATCAGAGCTGAGAATGGGACACTGGGCTGAGAGGGCTGGTCACTTGCCCTGCGGTAGCTCTGGCTGGTTCCCTGCACACCTCTCTCCTTCCACCCAGGAGCGGTTTCAAGTGAAGAACCCCCCCACAGCATATATCCAGAAGCTGAGGAGCTATGTGGACACGGGTGGGGTCAGCCGGAAGGTAGCAGCTGATTGGATGTCCAACCTGGGGGTACACGTTTCCCTCCTTTTCCTCCGTCCTTTCCCCCTACACCTTCAGGGCAGCTGGAGGGACTGAGTACAAGCGTTTCTGCACGCTTCTGTGGCTGTGCGAATGAGTGTGTGTAGATTTATGAGGAAGGCCCGGGCACGCCCTTCTGCAGGCTCCTATGCGTATCCCGGGTGTGCTTACACTGTCCACGTGTGTTATGAGTATAGTGGGTGTGTACCTGCTCCCATGCATCGATGCACAAGTGTGTGCCACGCATATACTTTTGCGTCTGTACATGCATATGTGTGCGTACCCTTGAGTCCGTGTGTGTCCTTGTATGGATGTGTGGGTACCTTATGTCTATGTATCTAGGGTGCTTGTGTATGGATGTGCGTGGTGAGGGTGTCCCCCCCGTCTGTGCATTGCGTGTGTGGCTCCCGCCTGTGCGAGGGCGTGCGTGTGCGCCCTGCCTGTCTGTGCACGGAGGAGTGCTCAAGACTGAGAATGCGTATGCTGCAGGGCAGGTGTGTGGAGGTGGTGGGGGAGGCTGACGTGAAAGGCCAGTTGTGGGGGGAAGGCAGGAGCTGCTGACTACAGCCTTGGGGCTCGGAGGGCCTGTGTGAGAATCGGGCTCCACCCACTAGACTCCCCTATTTTTGGCCCTCAGTTTAAGAGGCGAGTTCAGGAGTCCACACAGGTGCTGCGGGAGCTGGAGATCTCCCTGAGGACCAATCACATTGGGTGAGCCAGGGCTCATGTCTCCCTCTGCGGGGGGGTGGGGGGGGGTGGAGGGGTGGCGCCTAGGACAACTCTTCTCCAGGGAGTCCTGGGGCTTCCCCTTGTTACCCCTCCCTCTCTCCTTTCCTCCCTCCCTCCCTCCCCCAGAGCACCAGCTGTACCCGTGGGCCACTAGGGATTGGGTGTCCTGGACAGCTTCCCTGCCTCCTCCTCTGCCCACCCTCTGCCTGCCCCTTGAGGCATGGCTGGGAGATGGCTCCTGCCTGTACCCACCCCTTGGCATCCCCGAGTATCACTGGGTCTTCTGAGGCTGGTGGATTTCTTCCTGGGGGAAGAGCGCCCCAAGGGCCCTTGCTGTGGTTGTGCTGTGCCCACTCTGGGCAGTTCCTTTTCCAAGCTGGAACTCAGGCCCCTGTGCCCTGCAGGTGGGTGCAGGAGTTCCTCAACGAGGAGAACCGTGGCCTGGATGTGCTCCTCGAGTATCTGGCCTTTGCTCAGTGCTCTGTCACGTAAGCCCCCCACATCTCTCCTGCTGTTCCTCTGGGTTTTGATCCCCCGCTGTGCCTCACTTCACCCCCCTCCTCTGGCCATTGCCAAGCCTGGAACCCTGTGCTTGGGCCTGAGGGCTGTGTCTTCCCAAAGGCTGCCGTGGTCAGGGAGGGTGTGGCCAGCTGGGCCCCGGAGGCTGCTCTTCTGTTCCACTGCTCCCCTCCCCCTCCTCTGCCCAGCACAGCACCAGGAATAAGCCTCCTCCGCCCCCTCATCTCTCCTGCAGATCTGCCTCTCCACATTGTGCCCCAACCCTCTCTGAGCGCCCCGCAACCTCCTCCTACCACCCCCCCCCACTGCAGGTATGACATGGAGAGCACAGACAACGGGACCCCGGGCTCAGAGAAGAGCAAGCCCCTGGAGCAGTCAGTGGAGGACCTCAGCAGGAGCCCTCAGCCAGGGCCAGCACAGCCCAAGAGTCGTCACCTGACCATCAAGTACGTGGGCCCCTAGGAGGTGATGAGTCCTATGGAGAATTCATCCCTAGATCTGAGTCAGCCAGTACCCCCTCCACCGCCCAGCCCCTGGCAGGGGCTGGTGGGGAGCCTGGCATGGAGATCAGAGTAAGGGCCTCAAACAGGGCTGGGAGGCGGGTGTGTTAAGAAGCCTTTGGGGTGGGCATCTAGAAGCGGGAATCTGGTTGGGTCTGGGATAAAGAGGGGGTTTCTGTGCCGGTGGGCCCCCCCTTGTACCCATCTAACCCCCTCTTTTCTCCCGTGCGGCCTCCAGGTGCCCCCCTTCTCCCCGGTACGTAGCCACCTGCATGCATGTCTGGTCGGCTCCCGGGGTGGCGGTGGGGTTGGAAGAGGTGCTGAACTCACACCTGGGCTCAGCTGCTGGGGAGTGGGCAGCCCATCCTCATTTAGGGGGCCTGGGTTGTTGCCTCAGGGTCTTGATGCTGATGAGTCTTGAAGGGAAGCCCAGATTTCTTCTCCCACCTGGTCAGGTCCCCTAGACTTTCAAGTGGTGGGTACACCCCCCAAGTAGGGCCCTGCTGGGAGGTGGGGAGAAGAAAGAAGACAGCTCGGCGCCTTCTATAGAGCCCCAGCTTCCTTCTTGCCCACTTTGGGTCTAGGAGACCAACTTCATTTGAAGCCTCAAACTCTATGATTTTTTTGTTCATTCATTCAACAAACACTTTTTAGCATTTACTATGTGTCAGGCAAGTGGTAGATGCTCAGGAGACTGATTACCCTGCCCCTGGGAGCCCTCAGTAGAGGACAATGACAGGTTGTCACTGGAGGTGTGACTGGAGCTCTGAGAAGGGAGGTGGCCACGGCCTGAGGCATCAGGAAGGCCTCTCAGAAGAGATGGAGCTAGAACTATGTCTTGCAGATGGATATGGGCTCTTTAGGCAACCGGGAAGGGCATTCTAGGTAGAAGGAACAGCATGAGAAAAGACTTGTGGCTTTTTTGAGCAATGAAAAGAGAAGGGCGCTATGGCAGGTAGAAGGAGGTGCAGGGCCTCCCAGGGTTGGAAACAGGATAGAATTGTCGAGGAAGCTGACAGGGAATCACGATTGGGGGTTCTGCAATAATAACAAAACCACATACTTTTGACTGAGATTTATCCAGCACACTCATGGAACACTTGCTATGTGCTCAGTTCAAGGGCCCAACAACCTTATCGGGAAGGTATTATCATAATTGTTCCTATTTTATAAATGAGGAAACTGAGGCACAGGCAATTAAGTAACTAGCCTACTGAGTGGTGAGCTGGGATTAGAACCCACATACTCGAAATTCAGGCCCCCTCTCACCATGGAGGAGAAGGTCCTGCAGCCATGAGCGCCACCTTGTGGACAGCACTTCCATGGCCATTTCCAAGCTAGGCCTGTCCTTTCCCTCTGTGGGCTGTGTACTCACATCCTCCGTTTTAGTGCCAAGTTGCGGATGAGGGTCTTTGCTTTCCTGATTCCCCTCTTTGCCTCCCCCCAGCATGCCAGGCCCTGGCCTATGGGCTGAGGAAGCCTTCCAGCCCTCAGCTGGCCTCTTTGGTTGGGTAGATGGGAAGCAGTGGCTAGAGGTTCCAGATGGGCCCCTGCTTGCTCCGGAGGTCATCTGGGTGGTACAGGGAACAGGAAGCTGGGTTTGGGACTCTGATCCCAGCTGCCTCCCCTCCACCCTGCCCAGGCTGACCCCGGCCCACAGCAGGAAGACCCTGCGGAATTCCCGCATCGTCAGCCAGAAGGACGATGTTCATGTCTGCATCATGTGCTTGCGGGCCATCATGAACTACCAGGTAGCCATGGGCACAGGGACACAGGGAGTCTGGGACCCCGGGGGGAGGGCCTGTCCTCACCAGGGGCCGCCTAAGCTGCTGAAGTTCTCAGACCAACTATCTTGGGCATCTTTGGGGACTGGGGTATTAGCTCAGGGTCTCAAGGTTGACAAGTCTTGAGAGAAGCCTGGATTTCTGTCTCCACCTGACTGAGTCCCCTAGGTACCCTGGGCATGGCTTACGTGTTGACGTAGGCACATCCACCAAGAAGGGCTGGAAGCCAGGTGCACAGGTAGAACAGCTCTGGGTTATTTCCTTTGGAGGGGTGATGATGAAACTAGTCCCCCCTCAGTCCTTTGAGGACTCTCTGTGTCCAAGGTGATGAGTCCTGACATAGATGACTGGATCAAGAAGATGTGGTGGATATATACACAATGGAATATTACTCAGCAATCAAAAAAGATAAACTCATGCCATTCATAGTAACACGGATGGAGCTGGAAGGGATTATGCTCAGTAAAATAAGACAGAAGAAAAAGAAAAATATCAGATGGTTTCACTTATAGGAGGAATGTAGAGGAACTAAATAAGGGATCAGGGAAAAAAAGCAATTATAATAAATTAAAAATCAAAATCAACAGACAACTATATATCAGACATTTTGCAGAGGAGGAGGAGGGGGAAGGATCAAAACAAGGGTGGGAAGAGCACAAGGGACTGTTGTGATGGTGCACGGGTGAATGGGTGGTGGGAATTTCACGGGGTCTATGCCTGCGAGGAGAAAGCATACATTGTACAAAAATGAAAAATAATGTTAAATATATATTAAAAAAATAAAGAGGGGCACCAGGCTTTGGAGATTGAGAACTGGTTGGGTATAAAGACCTTCCTAAGTCTGAGGGCAGCTAGAGACCAGAATGGCCGGCACTAATGCTGGAGCAGCTGGGCTGGGAGGGTGCTGGCAGCCCTGGCAGCTGGCAGCTGACCTCTCCTGTCTTCCCAGTCTGGCTTCAGCCTTGTCATGAACCACCCAGCCTGTGTCAATGAGATTGCTTTGAGTCTCAACAACAAGAACCCCAGGTGAGATCTAGGCCTAATTCTCTCCACATCTAGCTGTTCCTCCTGCTTACCCCCTTTGCCTGCTCTGTCTCCAAGCTCTCCAGGCTGCACTGGCTCACTCCATCCCTGCCTTGAGATCCCCTTCTCATCAGCAGCTCCCTGTCCTCTCCCTATGAGGCCCATGTGCCCCCTTGCTGCAGGGTGTGCCTGTCCTTAAGAGAGTATGTCTTCTCTCTCTCCCCAGAACCAAGGCTCTGGTGCTGGAGCTGCTGGCAGCTGTGTGCCTGGTGCGGGGAGGACATGACATCATCCTTGCGGCCTTTGATCACTTCAAGGAGGTATCAGAGCCCCTTGCCCTCTGCTTGGAGCCCGGTTGCTGAAAATTGTGGCCTCTTTAGGAGGCAGCTGGGGACATCGAATGGACATCTGGGGAGCATCTGGGATGGGAAAGTTCTGAAGGGAAAGTGATACATCAATGGACAAGAGAAACAAGACAGGAGAGATAAACAATAAATAAACAAATTACATTGTTAGAAAATAACAGATGTGGAGGGGAAAAGAGCAGGGTGCTGTGGGGGAGGGGAGGGCTTGCAGTGGGGCCGGCAGCCTGGTTGAGAGGTGAGACTAGTAAAGCTGTTTGGGAAGCAGGGGCTTGGCCTGGGGGCTATTTTGTGTAAGAACAGACCAGGCTGATGGGATTGCAAGTGCAAAGGCCCTGAGGTGGGAATGAGTGGAATGGGAGAGGGGGAGCTATGAGAGATGAGCATCCCCTCCTACTTAGGTGTGTGGGGAGCAGCATCGCTTTGAAAAGCTGATGGAGTATTTCCGGAATGAGGACAGCAATATCGACTTCATGGTGAGCTCGGCCTGCACAGCGCCAGCCTCAGGTGCCAGAGCAGCCAGGGCCTTGGAACTGGCTCCTCTTTGCTCCCGCTGTGCAACAGGACTGAGTGGCTGGTGGGGGAGGAGTGAATGTCAGAGGGGAGAGGTTGGAGGGAGGGGGCACAACTGAATTAGAGTGAGAAATGTGGAGGAAGGGCAACTTGGGATAAATGGGCTTGAAGGCATTGAGAACCCCCCCACCCCCAGAGGATCACAGGCCTGCTCATGTCTCACACCCCTGCCCCAGGTGGCCTGTATGCAATTCATCAACATCGTGGTGCATTCGGTGGAGAACATGAACTTCCGTGTCTTCCTGCAATATGAGTTCACCCACCTGGGCCTGGACCTGTACTTGGAGGTGAGCCCTGCACTCCCCCCAGATTCAACTGTTGCCTCCTGCAGAGTGGGGCTCAATGGTGAGCAGCAGGAGCAGTGCTGGGGTCAGGTCCCCCTGGGTTCAAATCCTGGTTCTGCTACTTCCTAACCCCTGTGAACCTGAGTCTCAGTTTTCCCATCTATTAAATTGGAGAATCATAGAAGTCAGAATGATTCCCAATGCGTAGAGCAGTGCCTGCTGCATAATAGACACCTGGCCCCTGGAGCTGTTATTGCAGGAACTAGAATAGGCTGTAAGTCACCCTGGCTCTGGCTCTGCGAGCACAGCTTCAAGTAGGGGCTTGGACTTGAGCACATAATGGGGAGTGCAAGATATTGGGCCAAAGAGGGAGCTGGCTCATGCTGGTCATGGGGGTTCTTGCTGTGGGGAAGTAGGCAGAGGGGGCTTGGTGCTTCCTGGCCCAGCCTGAGCAGAGAAGCTTCAGCCTTCTTCCTGATTCCTTTGGGAGCCTTCCAGGAAGAGCAGGGCTTCTGGAGGATTTTTGAAAGTCAGCATTAACAAAAGGTAAAAAGCAGGTTGGAGTGATTTATCCATACAATGGAATATTAGTTGGCCATCAAAAGGAAATCAGTACATGTACCTACATGAATGCACCTCAAAATCATTATGCTAAGTGGAAAAAACCTGACACAAAAGGCTACATATTGTATGATTCCTTATACGAAATGTCCAGCATAGGTAAATTCATAGATACAGAAACAGGTGGTTGCCAGAGGCTAGCTGAGTAGAGAATGGGGGAGTGACTATTTTTATGAGTAGAGATTTTCTTTTTGAGTAATGAAAATGGTCTGGAATTAGTAGTGATGGTTACACATCCTTGTGAATATACTAAAAGCTACTGAATTGTACACTTTATAATAGTGAGTTTTATGATATGTGAATTATATCTCAATAAAAAATAAAAAAAATGCAGGCTGGGGCTCAGGCCTCTTCCTCTGGACTCTGGTGGTGAATGGGGACATGTTGGAAAGCCCCCTCACGCAGGGCTTCACCCTTTTCCTTCCATCTGGGAGACAGAAGCTTCGGCTCACGGAGAGTGACAAGCTGCAGGTGCAGATTCAGGCGTACCTGGACAATGTGTTTGATGTGGGCACGCTGCTGGAGGAGACTGAGACCAAGAATGCTGTGCTGGAGCACATGGAGGAGTTGCAGGAGCAGGTGACCCTGGTGAGAGCAGCTCCTGAACTCAGCCCAGCACATAGTAGGCCCACAGGGATCCACACTGGCACCAAGCTCTGGGCCTCAAACACTCATCTTAGGTGTGGATTGGGGGTGGCTATCTGTCTGGTCCCTGAATTGACCTGGATTCAAATCCTGACCTTTGGGGTCTTTCTCAATAAGTGTTGGACCAGCAAGGAGTTGGACCAGTGTGGAAGGCAGGCCCCTTCTTGTCCAGCTCAGACCCGGGGTCTCCCCCGGCCAATGTTTCCTCCTCACCTCTGGCCCTCCACTTCATCAGACCCGGGGTCTCCCCGGACCAATATTTCCCCCCCACCTCTGCCCCTCCACTTCATCAGTGGTTCTTTGCTGTCCCCTCCGGTGAGGGCTGCAGTGCTCTCTCCTTGCCTCACCTACTGGGGTTCAAGAGCCAGGCTCGCCGCCCCCACCCCAGGCTAAGCAAACCCGGAAGCCTCCCCCACCCCTCCAGGCAGGCAAGCCTGATGCCGCCCCCTCACCGGCGGTACCAGTGCCCGGCTGCGGGTGGGAGCTCACCATGTGCCGGTGCCACAGCTGACAGAGAAGCTTCGGGACGCGGAGAACGACTCCATGGCCAAGATCGCGGAGCTGGAAAAGCAGCTAAGCCATGCCCGGAAGGAGCTGGAGACCCTGCGGGTGAGGCTGGGGCGCGGGCCGGGCCCGGGGGAGCGTGGGGTCCCAAGAACAGAGCAGCGGGGGCTTCTAGGCTTGTCACCTCCCTCCACCGCGGCGAGAGGATGGGGGTTCTGTGCCCGCGAGTGGACGGTGACTCGCCCCCTCACCCCACCCGCCCCGGGCTTGCAGGAGCGCTACTGCGAGTCCGCCCTCGCGCTGACCTCCAGGCGTCCCCCCGAGCCCGAGAAGGTGCCTGCCGCGGCGCGGCCCTCCGCCCTGGAGCTCAAGGTGGAGGAGCTGGAGGAGAAGGGGTTAATCCGCATCCTGCGGGGGCCCGGGGACGCCGTCGCCATTGAGATCCTTCCGGTCGCTGTGGCAACTCCCAGCAGCGAAGCCCCGACCCCGGGGGTGTCCACCGGCTCCCCCAGCCCAGGTGCGCGGCGCGTCACGCCCGGCGGGGTGGGGGCCGGGACGCCGCGAGGGCGAGCCGGGGACGTGCCCGCGGGAGCGCGGGGCGGGGGGCGCTGGGCTGGGGCTGGGGGCGTGGCGCGCGCAGGTGCGGGAGCGGGGAGTGGGCCCCGGGCGCAGGCTCGGGGCGGGGAGCGCGACGCGGTCACCTAATCTGAGAAGCTGACCGCGCCCTGCCCTTCCCGGTTCGCTCTCGTCGGGCTCAGATCTCCCACCAGCAGCGGAACCAGTTCCCGGAGCAGCACCCCCACCGCCACCCCCTCTGCCCGGCCTCCCCCCGCAGCAGGAAGCCCCGCCCCTGGCCCCGCCCCTGGCCCCGCCCCTCCCGGGCACCTCGGAGCCCCCGCCCCCACCGCCGCCGCCCGGAGACCAGCCGCCCCCACCCCCGCCGCCACCCCCGCCGCTTGGCACCGAGGGGCCGGTGCCTCCGCCGCCCCCACCTCCTCCAGGAGGTGCCTCTGATGCCCTTGGGGGGGCCGGCCCAGAAATGGGTTCAGGTGAGTGGCCCGCCTAGCGCGGGAGGAGAGCGCGGGAGGGCACCTCCAGCCCCGGGGGGGGGGGGGGGTCCAGGGTCCGTCAGGGCACCTCCCGCCTGCACTGTCGGGCCTCGCTGAGCCTGGGCCCCACCAGATACCCCGCCCCCTGTCACCCCAGTGCTCACGACTCCCTCCCTGTCCCAGGAGTGAAGGCCAAGAAACCCATCCAGACCAAGTTCAGAATGCCTCTCTTAAACTGGGTGGCCCTGAAGCCCAGCCAGATCACAGGCACGGTCTTCACCGAGCTCAATGATGAGAAGGTGCTGCAGGTGAGTGGCCCTGTCTTGCTCCTGGCAGGTGCCAGAGGAGGAGGAGACACACCTGGATGGGGCTGGGCTCTGCGGTGGTCGTCTCCACTCCATTTTACAGATGACCTGGAGGCGGAGGGGTGGGTGTTAAGCCAGACTGGGTTAGTGCATGGAGTAGGCAGAATATCCTGACCACCCTGGAGCCTTCCCCCTCCATCCCTGCGGAGGAGCACATCCCTTCCCAAGTTTGGCCTCTCCTTTCAGTCCCCTTCCCACTTGCCTACAGACAGCCAGGGCCTCAGCTCTTCTAATTCCACTTCTGTTTTTCTAAAAGGGTTGTGTTCTCTGGCCACCAGGCCATTGGACATGCTCTTCCCTTCTGTACTCAGGTGATAATGGCTTGAAGCCTGGGTTCCCTCAGTTGGGTACTGCTCCTCTTCCACCTCAATGCCCCTGCGTGTCTTCCCTGTGTCCCCCGTCAGGGTCCGTAGTCAAGCCGGGTTACTGGTTTGTTTCTCCTGGTCATGGCTGGATGGGTGGCTCTAGCACCAGCACAGCCCTCAGCCAGGAGAGTACCAGAGCCACCTCCTCTCCCTGTGCCCTTAGGAGCTGGACATGAGTGACTTTGAGGAACAGTTCAAGACTAAGTCCCAAGGTCCCAGCCTGGACCTCAGTTCTCTCAAGGTGAAGGCAGCCCAGAAGGCACCCAGCCAGGCCACACTCATTGAGGCCAACCGGGCCAAGAACCTGGCTATCACTCTACGCAAGGGCAACCTGGGCGCCGACCGCATCTGCCAGGCCATCGAGACGTGAGTATCCCTTCCCTGAGCTGGGGGCAGCCCAGGTCCTTGGCCCGACCAGGGTCATCAGGTCTAGTGAGAGTCCAATTATAGGACAGAGTCCACCAGTTTCATACCAAGCCTAGCCAGGGAATAGGTGGGGAAGCGTGTTCCCTTTCAAGCCGGGAAAACTGAGGCCACACTGTGAGCCCATGCCCGGACTCAGACGTTCTCAACCCTTCCTTGCCTGCTTGCCCAGCTATGGGCACTCAGGCCCAGGAGTTGGCAGTGGGGATCCACCACTGATACATGATGGGGACCCTGGGCTTCCCAGCTCCCAACTTCCTTTGACTCTTACTTCTTGTTCCCTGAAGTTGTTGGCAAATAGAGAATGCTGAAGTCCATTTATTCAGTCAAGGAAGGGAGTGGGTAGTCCTGCTCTCAAGAAATGGGGAGTGTGGAGTGATGCCTGACCCCCTTCATGCCCACCAGGTATGACCTTCAAGTCCTTGGCCTGGACTTCCTGGAGCTGCTCACGCGCTTCCTGCCCACTGAGTATGAGCGCAGCCTCATCGCCCGCTTTGAGCGGGAGCAGCGGCCTCTGGAGGAGCTGTCAGAGGAGGACCGCTTCATGCTGCGCTTCAGTCGCATCCCGCGCCTGTCCGAGCGCATGGCCACGCTCACCTTTCTGGGCAACTTCCCGGACACCGTCCAGCTGCTCATGCCGGTGGGCAAGGCTGATGGGATAAGTGGCCTGGGGTGGGGCCTGAGTCTGGAGGCTGCTCCAGATTGGACTCTAAGAGGGCATTTGGGGGTACCTGAGCCTGCTGTGGGGCATCTGGGGGTACCTGAGCTTGCCGTGGGGAATCTGGGGCTGAGCCTGCTATGGGCTCGCCCTCCACTATGCCCCAATTTACCTTGCCTCCTGCATCCCATCCTCAGCAACTGAATGCCATCATTGCAGCCTCCATGTCCATCAAGTCCTCTGACAAACTCCGTCAGATCCTGGAGGTAAGTGCTTAGGGCCAGGGTCTGGGAACAGGGGCCCACCCAAGATTCCTTGCCTGTTCTGGGTTCTGAGGCGGTGGCCCAGGCTCCACCCCATACACCTAGGATGCAACAAATGTGTCCCCACAGCTCATATACATGTGCAGAAGGACAAAGTGGGCTTGGGGGCCATGTCACCCTGCTCTGGGGACTGCTGTGTGATTAGCAGAGTGCCACACCTGTGGCGTCTAGGGGACCACTGGAAATGGCTGTTAGAAACAGAGACCCCACAGCCTAGGAGATGGAAATGGATAAGGTCAGATGTGCTGCTGTGTTAGCTGTGCACGTCACACACACAGGCGTGAACACGCGCCATGGACCCGAGGGGGCCGAGCAAGAGTGCTGTGTGTGGGACTTGCTCTTTGCTACCTTTTCTCCTTGTGCCATTTGTACCTTAGGGGGTTTGCTCAGCCCTGGCATCCTGCTGAGAGCCCCCCTTCTCCCCGCCCCCAGATTGTCCTGGCCTTTGGCAACTACATGAATAGCAGCAAGCGTGGAGCAGCCTATGGCTTCCGGCTCCAGAGTCTGGATGTGGTGAGGGGGATAAGAGGAGTCCCTGACCTGGGGGATGGGGGTGGCTGGTGGCCTGTGGCTGACACTAGGTTCTGTGCAGCTGCTGGAGATGAAGTCGACGGACCGCAAGCAGACCCTGCTGCACTACCTGGTGAAGGTCATTGCTGAGAAGTACCCACAGCTCACAGGCTTCCACAGTGACCTGCACTTCCTGGACAAGGCAGGCTCAGGTATGGGTGGGGGCGCCCAGTCCTTGGGTGCAGGGAGGGACTCACCTTGGGGATGTGGATATGGGTTGAGAGAAAGCAAGAGGCCCCGAGGACATAATTGGATGGAATGCTGCCACTCTGATCCCCTGCCTTTCCCCCTCAGTGTCCCTGGACAGCGTCCTAGGGGACGTGCGGTCCCTGCAGCGAGGCCTGGAGTTGACACAGCGGGAGTTTGTGCGACAGGACGACTGTGTGGTGCTCAAGGAGTTCCTGAGGACCAACTCGCCTACCATGGATAAGATGCTGGCAGACAGCAAGACGGCTCAGGTGGGCTGGGACTGGCCTGTTCTGGAGGTGGAAAGGCTGCGATGGGGGGTGAAGGACTATCTATTTGGGGTTGTATATACAGTCAAAGCCTGGAGGGGCTTGGCCGTAACAGGGAGACCTTGGAGGATGGAATAGGAGTGAGGGGCCACCTGCCTGGAGCAGCAGAGATGTAGTGACAAGTATTGAGGGTGTCCAGAACAGTGGTTGGACTCCGGGGCAGAGGGGGTGGTGGTCTGTGCTGGGGGCTGATAAGCTGTGCCTGCAGGAGGCCTACGAGTCTGTGGTGGAGTACTTCGGAGAGAACCCCAAGACCACGTCTCCCTCCATGTTCTTTTCCCTCTTTAGCCGCTTCGTCAAGGCCTACAAGGTATGTGTGCCTGGTGGGCAAGCTGGGGCCCCTGCAAGGCATTGCAGCCCCTGCATGTGGGCAGTGGGAGGAGTGTGGGTTTTTCTGTCTAGGGGGTGGGATGGGGATGGGAAGGCTCCCCTCTCATGGAGACCCACCTTGACCCCCTCAGAAAGCTGAGCAGGAGGTGGAACAGTGGAAAAAAGAAGCAGCTGCCCAGGAAGCAGGTGCTGACACCCCAGGCAGAGGGGAACCTTCAGCACCCAAGGTAGGTATCTGTCTCTGAGCTTGGCACTGGGTTGCAGGGATGCTTGGTATCCTCATCCCTAAGACCTGGCCCTTTTCCACATGCTCATTTTTATGGACAAGCCTGGCATGAGGCAAGAATGGTGTCCTAGCAGCCTGGGATGGCAATGGGTTCCTCTTGCTTAAGCTAGTTGCTCTTTCAGTGGGGGACCAGGCAGGTGTTCTAGGGTGTGGTGGCATGGGGATGGGGGTGCTGGAACTGGAGCTGTAAACCCTCATCCCTCCTAGTCCCCGCCTAAGGCCCGGCGGCAACAGATGGACCTCATCTCTGAACTGAAACGGAGGCAGCAGAAGGAGCCACTCATTTATGAGAGTGACAGGGATGGGGCCATTGAAGACATCATCACAGGTGAGGGCTTGACCAGGCCTCGCCTGTCCACAGTCTGTCCTGCTACTCTGTCTTCCATCCACACCCCCACTTTGAGGGTCTGGCTGCCTCACTGCCTCTTGCTACTTTTGCTCTCTTTTTCTCCTTTCTCTACCTCCTCCTCCTGCCCCACCCCCCAGTGCTCAAGACAGTGCCCTTCACTGCCCGCACCGGCAAGAGGACGTCCAGGCTCCTCTGTGAGGCCAGCCTGGGAGAGGAGATCCCTCTGTAGCCCCCCAGGTACCTGGATGGCCTGGCCTCTGATCCCAGTGGCTGCCCGCAGCCCTGAAGGAGAGTCATGCTGTGCTCCCCTGCTCCATGCATGAATGGGATGTGCTTGAGGGGGTTGTGGGTAAACCTAAGTAGACCCCCCTCCCACATGCATACAACTTGGGGTCTCTAGGAGGGTGAGCTCGTGCCCTGGAGTGGTGGTCCCAGCCCCGGCAGACTCCTGAAGGGTAAACGTGTCTCCTCTTTACTGCCAGATCTGCGGAACCAGCCCTATATCCGAGCAGATACAGGTCGACGAAGCGCTCGCAGGCGCACCCCAGGACCCCCCCTACAGGTCACCTCCGACCTCTCGCTGTAACAGCTGTTGGCACAGATGGACTCTGTGGGGTGGGGGAGAGAAAGTCAAGGCTCAAAAGTGGTCTTCAGGTAGCATGTGCAGTGTAGCCCTCTCCAGACCCAGGGGTACACTTCACTTCACACCTCCATTTTGCCACTGGGGGGCAGCATTGCTGGCCCCTCCCGACAAGTGTTGCTTGCAGCACTCCTCTCCCCCAGTAGCCATACTTAGCCTCAGGGGGAGCCTGACCTGTAACTTATAAAGTGCATCCTCGAGTCCCCCTCCTCCATGCCCCCCCCCCCCCCGCCATCCACGGAATATCCAGGGATCGTATTTTTTTACAATATTAATAAAGATGTTTCCAAAAGATCTGACTCTGCTCAGTGCCCGCCCCCACCGCGAGCTCTGTTTCGCTCAGCAAACACTTTACTTGTCCAAGTTCTTCATAGAAGGTGCAAACTGGCTGGCGAAGGGGAGAAGGGCAGCTTCTGCACTAGAGTTGGGGGGGGGGGGGGAGAGCCAGCTTCGAGGGGCGCATACTCTAGCGACTGGCCCACAAAGCCTGCGGGAAAGCGAGCAGGTGTGCGGAGGGTCAGGTGGGCAGCTCGGGCGAGGGACGCTGGATGAGCACGGGTCTGCCTTTCTGCCACCCCGCCCCACTTCCAGGCGCCCCCCCCACCGGTGGCGCCCTACCCTAACTCACGTCCCCAGTGATGTCACACGACGTCTCTGCCTGTTCCTCCACAGTCCCTGCCTGCCCGACACATTTCTTGGAGTCCAGCTCCCACCCTTTGCCAGCCCCATCCTTCTACCCCATCAAGTTTGCCCCGCCCCGCTCCATCTGCCCCGCCCCTACCCTCCCGGCCACGCCCACTCTCGCAGCCCCGCCCACACAGCAACCCCGCCCACACTTGCAGCCCCGCCCACCCTCGCAGCCCCGCCCACCCTCGCAGCCCCGCCCTCTGCGCGACCCTGGAGGACCCTGCTTGGTCGCTGCGCCGCGTTCACCTTGGCGGCTCTTGGCCCCCGAGCTTGGGGCGGCTAGGCTGGTATTGTAACAGGGGGGTCCCCAGGAAAGGGGAGGTTCCAGGTTCCCTGCCCCACCCAAATGGAGGGTGGAGCTTAGCAGGGAGAGAAGCTGCTGCAGAGGAGACTGAGGAAGGAAGCAGGATGGAGCCAGGAGACCTGGAGGAGGCGCATGGAGCCTAGAGACACGTGAAGAAACTGCGCTTGTCTTTTGGTCGTGGACTGGGTGACACAGATGTGGGTGAGGCCCGTGGGGAGGTGACCATGGTGGTTTTTATCTTGATTTTGATTTTGCTCTTTTCCTTCCGGGCTTGTCCGGTTGTTTCTGACCCTTTTCTGTGGGTCCCCACTGGAAGATGCTTTAGACTTGGGGCAGGCTTTGGGGCCTTGTTCTGGGCCAGTCCCATTTGGATGGAGTTTTACCCATGAGGGGACGGGTCACTTTGGGTGCTTGATTTAGAAACTAGATTCTTTGCCTTTCCTGTATTGTTTCCTAATTGTACTAAAGTTCCTTCCCACTAAAGTCTCATGTTTTGTGTTGATGCGGCGGATGGCAGAACCCTATATAGAATAGGCAGGTTTGCGGGGTTTGGGCTGCCCCTCTCCCTGCCCTGTAACAGTAGGACTTGGGAAATCTGACTTCTGGGTGCGGCATTTGGTTTCTTGTCCTGTGCTCTGGCCGCATCTTCTCAGCCAGGATAGGTATCTGAGAGTAGGGGCTGCGCACGCCTGCAGTGGGGAAGCGCGCAGGAGGGAAAGGCAAGGCCAGGGCTGAGAGAGCCCGAGGTGAAGGTGGGGGTACCCCTCCTGCGGGCCCCCTCAGCCCCTGGCGCACTGGTTTTGTACAGGTGGTGCAGCGAGCGCACCAGGTTGGCGTTGGAGAGGCCACTGAGGCGCGTGGCCTGGCAGAGGAGGGTGAGGCCCGCTTGAGTGTGCTTGGTGCGCTGTGACTTCAGGCCTGGCTGCTGCCTCTTGGAGTAGTAGCTTGAAGAAGTGGGGCAGTGACCTCAGACACCCCCACCCCCACCCTGTCCTCTCCATATCACGCCTGAGGAAACCAATGCAGGACAGGAAGTCACATGTCTCTGACATGAGGCCAGTTGGGGCTCAGGTAACTGACTCAGAATTCAAGGCTCCCTCCCTGGGGCAGGAACATCATGGGACCCCACAGGGGGCAGGGTTGCTGCCCATATCCTGGGTCCTGAAACTGGGTAGGACTATGCTCATTTCATCACCTCATTCACAGACTTGGAAGGCAGAAAGCCCTGGCTCATCAGCTTGAACAGCATCTCTAAGAACAGGGTCTGCAGACCCTGGGGGTCACTCTCCTTGCTAGTCCTCACCTGACCTGGGGACAGAGAATGTGGGGGATGGTAAGGAGAAGCCCTTCCCTCAGCCCACTCCTGCCTCACCAGCCTTGCCTCTCACCCAGGCACAGAGCCAGGTGGTGGCTGTCAGTGAGGACACCCAGGAAGTCTTTGAAGCTTACGATTCCATCGCCTGTGAAGAGAAAGAGTGGGTGATGTGGGAGCCTGCCCCTGCATACAGACAATATTTGGAGTTGGCCAGCAGGTCTAGCCATTAGAGATCCCAGTCTGCTTTTAGCCAAATGTCCACCCTGGGGGAGAAAGATCTCTTGTCCTGGGGGATCCCCAAATCAGGATGGGGATTAAACAGCAGAAAGTTAGGGGTAGGCATGTTGATCAGGCCAGGCTTCATGGAAAGGGAATTTTAAAATAGAATCAGGCCAGGCTTTTGTGGGCAGGAGAGACATTCTTTGGAACTAGATGTGGGACAGGATGAAAGCAGGGATGGGGGCACCCACCATCCAAGTCTGCCAGCTGCAGAGCCTCACACATCTTCTGCAGGCTTAGCTGGACACCCACGTTCTGCAGGACTGCTTTCATGCTGCACATGTCCACAGTGCCTGTTGGGCCCGAGCTGAACAGTTTGAAGACATCCTGGAACACTGCGGGCGGGGAGGGGGCCAGGCAGAAAGGTGGAGCACGCTCCAGGGAATGCTGAGATCTGCCCCTAGCTCAGATGGGGCTGAGGCCTTGGGTCACTCCAACCCCCTGGGCATTTCAGCTTTGAATGTAAAGAACAATGGCTGCTTGTTAAGAGCCATGCGGTTCTCATGTCCAGTGCACATGTTTGAACGTGTTTGTATGAAAAACATTCGTAACTCATGTCCAAGGCCACACCACCAGGGGGGGCTATGCTGGCTTTGGACAAGAGCAGGCTGGCCCCAGGGCTGTGGTGCTCTGTAGTGCTGCCATCTAGCAGGCACTGAAAATTATCAATAGAATGATTCTGCTTTGAAAGACCCTTGCCAGTATCAGGGCATGGTCCTTGAGGGGCTTTGGGGACCCCTAAATGTAGTAGTTCCTTCTATTCCTACCCTTATGGCCCCAGAACCTGAGCATGGGGAGCTCATTCTTTCTTATGCCCTTTGCTCTTACTCCTCCTGCCATCTATCCATCCATTCACCACCCAAATACCTTCCCACCCACCAATCCATCCTTCCCTACACACACACACACACACACACACACACACACACACACACACACACACCAGTTAGCTCTGGGGTTGTGGAGATGAGTAATTCAGACTGGCATGGAGGGGAGGTTACAATAATGTAATCACTGGCTTCTTGCAGTGACCCCAGCCTCTCAGCTAATAGTTCTGCTCCCACACCCCCTAATTTTCCTCTCTGTTCCCAGCCCTTAGGTCCTTACCTACCCATGCCAGGTTGTCAGAGATAGCAGGTTCTCATCTGCAAAGCTGCCTGGGGGGTAGAGGGAAGAGGTTGGGAAGGCCTTTTTTTTTTTTTTTTAAAGAGGCATGCATTTTATTTATTTGTTTGTTTGTTTGTTTCTTTATACAAGCACTGGGTACAGTCAGAAGTGCGGGAGGGTGAGAGAATTCACCAGAGCCAGAGCGGGGAGCAGAGCAGGCAGAAGGACCGAAGTACACTGCTGAGGGGAGCAGCGGGCAGCAGGAGAGGTCTGCGCGCCACGTGGGACCCTCCTCTGGTGGCTGGGGAGCAGCCGGGGATCGAACCGGCGCCACAGAGGCTGCGGGCGGCTTTGCAACCCAGTGCTCAACCGCTGCGCCACCGGGGAGGCCCTGGAAAGGCCTTTGTACCTGTTGCTGAGACATACCAGGGCCAAGCTGACCTTATCCTAAACCCAGCACCTCAGGCCTGGCCCTCACCTTTGAGACTTAGCACTTGGATCTGGCTGTACTGAACAAGGAACCGCAAGGCTCTTGGACTCCCTTGCTCTTTGGAAGGTCTGCTTAGCCTTTGTGGCTGTGACCGCTGCTGGCCCCATCTGGGTTAGAGCAGTGTGCTGCTGCAGCCTTGTCTTCCTCGTCCTGTTTGCCTGAGCGTCTGCTGGGTCTCTCAGGAGCAGTCTTTGAGGCTTCTGTGGAGGTCTTGAAGGAGGGAAGAGTTTGCCCTCGACCCAGCACATTCAAGTGCCCAGACCCCAGGGACCTGGGACCAGGCCTTGGGCTGCATAGTTCTACTTCCTCCCAGGATCCCCCACCCAGCCTGCACTCATAGTCCTCTTCCAGAGAGTTCTGTGGCAGTAGCGGTGGGCCCACCCCAACCTGGTCACCTGGACATTCTCTGTGCTGATGGGGATCTCCTGGTCTTCTTCTCCCTGCTGCCTGAAAGGCAGAGTCACAGGCTCTGGGGCCGATCATGGGCAGGTGTGCTGTGCACTTGTGTGTGTGGCACCTGAGGCACCTGCTTCCTCTGTGTGCATGTTGTGCAGGTCATCTGATGGCATCTGCATGCACGTGTGCACATGTGCGTGTGTGTACATGTGCCAGTGCGCCATCACACATGGCTTTCCTCTAGTCTGGAGGTACCTCTGATTCAAGGCTGTGGGCCCCAGTGGGCCAGTCCTTGGCTTCATCCTCCCCCACTTTCTGTCCCCCAGGCATCCCTTCCTGGGGCCAGACCTTCCTGAGAGAAGCAGGAAGAACTCCCTTCAGACTTGCAACTCACCTGCCCGGCCCCTCCCCTCACCCAGCTGACTTCTCCTGTGAAGACCCCAGCACATCCTGGCTTCAGGCCCATTTCACCATGTAAGGAACTGCAGCCTGGGCAGGCACTGAGGCTCCCCCAGATTAGTCATGAGTCTTTGCCACTGGCTTAGAAGTGAGGATAGGTGTGAGTGAAATGAAACCACCCTGGGAGTGCACAGGGGCAAAACGGGTGGCAGAGGCCTCCAGGGGAAAGGGGGGACTGAGGCAGCTACAAAATGGGGGTGCCAGCCCTAAAAAATGGAAACCAGGACGCCGCAGCCAGGTGAGCTCGCTGGTCCAAGAGTGCACAAAAAGTCTGAGCCGGGGGCCAGCACTGGAGGCTTTACTGTTTTTTTCTAGTCATTTCTTTGGGGGGTGGTGGGGGATGACACCTTAAAGTGGATTTTCAGCAATAATGGACTCTCTTTCTTGGTTCTCGGCAACGAGCTGCAATGCAAAAAGAAAGAGTGTCACTTTGGGGCCCTTGGGGTGGTCTGGGGGGAGGGTGAGCCCAGACGCCTCTCTGAGGGGGGGGTCTGGGGTAAGAAGACCTTTGACAGGCAGCTGACATTTGTGGTGTCCATCTCCAGGAAGCAAGGGTTCTGGGGAACCCTACCCCCCTCACAGCTTCCCAGCAGGGCAGACACTGGCCTGAGCAATTCCCAGGAGGGTGAGGCCAGTTGCCCTCTGGGTAAGGAGCTTCCTAAGCCTCGGATGACCCTTCTCACTTTGCACCGAGCACTCATTTGCGAGTGCTCACCCTCCATGGTGCCCAGGCCTCCTCCGGCCCTGGCCTCGGCACTGCACCTCAGTCCACTGGAACCTTTTTTCCAGCTGCCTTTATGAGGTCACTGAAGTGGAGACATCACAGGCCACCCCATCCCCTACCCAGACTTTTACCCCACTGTTCCCTACCCCCACTGTGCTCCATGAGGGGTGGGCCCACCATGCATCCTAGCCTAGCCAGCCCCACCCGGGGAGCTGTGAGCCGGCCTGACTTACTCTGGCTTGGTTTCTTGTGGTGGAGGGAACATGGCTGGTGACTGCACAAGCTTCACTTTCCCCTCAAAGGTGGTCCTCATGCCCCCTGGCTTGTTGAAGTCAAAGTAAGGGTAAAGGAAGTTCTTGTTCTCCTGCTTCCATGCTTTCTGCTGCATTATGTCTTCTAGCGGTTTCTCTAGCAGCGCTTGAGTGAGCTTTTCCGCCATCTGGTCTACGGCGGGCTGGGCGGCGCCGTCCCCCGTGGGCTCTGTAGCGGGCTTCTTGGCCTTCTTGGATGGGTCTTGCATCCTGAGCTCCATGTTGGGCAAGTGCTTCTTGTTGGAGGAGGCCATGGCCAGGGAAGTTGCCAGGTTGACTAACTCTGTCAGGCCAATGGCTGGTGACAGCTCAGGGGATAGGGGGCGGCTTCGTGGCTCCCGGGGCTTTGTGGCTGGAACCACTGACTGGGGGCTCGGGGCCTGGAGCTGCTTCTGGGAAGACACGGTGTCCTCGGGGACCCATGACCGGTGGGAGCACCTGGAGGCCTTATCTAGGCTTTTCTTGTCAAAGTGCATGCTGATGGCCCTTTCCACGCTCTCCTGGGAAGCCTGGATGAGCTTGTCTGCCCAGAAGAGGTGCTTGGAGGTCTGTACATGGATGGAATGGTGGTTGGCCGGCATCCGGGCCACCTCTGTGGCGCTCAGGTAGGTGGAATTTGACTTCTCACTGCATGGTCTGAAGGCCTGCTGCCCCAGCTCCTCCATGGAGGGGTGGAGCGACTCCCTCCTGTCGACCTGCGGCTCAGGCTCCGCGGGGCAGCACTCCACCGAGGACCCCGTGTCCAAGGACTCCGTGTCCAGCCCGGGCTGAGGCTGAGGCCCGGGTGTCATTTCCATCTCCGGCTCTGAGTCGAGGTCCAGGCTTGATTTGGAAGTGTGGGCCAGCGCTAGCAATTCTGTCTCCAGCTGAAAAGTTTCAAACTGAAAGCTGAGGAGGCGGGCCCCAGCCCCTGAGGTGGTCTCTGGCACCAGTTCCCTGCCCGCCTCTGCCGCTGTGGCTCGCTTCCTCCCTCACACTTGCCCCCTGTCTGGGGGCCAGGACATGGTGTGGCAGGTGGTGGGCGAATGGTGTGGGCAGCCGACACTAGCCTGGTAGCAGGGCCCGGGGGAGTCCAGGGGAGCTGCGCCTCTGAGAACCTTCCCCTTGCCCACCCCTGCGCCCTTGGCTATTACCTCCATCTCTTCTTCATCTTGTGACAGGTACTGGCTTAAGTCACACCTAACGCAGAAGGAGACCGAGTGGGTGACAGGGCTCCATGGGGGGAGGGGCTGTCTTCAGGAGGGAGGGAGCCCCTGCGGCCTCCAAGGTCACTTGCCTTATGCAAGGCCCCCAGCTCACTCCCTCTCTTGGATGTCCCCATCCCACCAACAATTCCTGAGTATGATTCTCCAGCTGTGGGCTTTAGGAAGCGTGTGGAGAGCTTGCTGAGTTGCCCCCTCCCCCAAAGCACAATCTAGATTGGAGGTGGTGGGGTTCAGGAAGCTTCATTTTTATCAAGGTGAGGTGATGGCAGCTCAGTGGAAATAGTCCCCACAGAAGGGGAAACCCAGAGCAATGCCCTCCCCTCACCCCTTCCCAAGCCCAGCCCAGCAGATCTGAGAGGTGGACGGAACAGTGGAGGGGGTGCTGCCACTTCCACCCTTGCCCTCAGGGCTCAGCCGTGGTGACTCGCTCTCTTTCCCCAGCACCTGCCCTGTTCCGCGGGGACAGTGCTGTCCTCAGAGCATACACCTCTGGGGGTCAGGTCCCATCCACGTCCCTGGGTGTGCCCACCACCCCTCAGTCCTCACCAAGGTCAGGGGCTGGAAGCAGAGTCAGGAGGTCTGGATGAGACCCTTGGCGGGGTGTTTGGAGATGGGCAAGATGGAGGGAGATCCTGGGTTGGGGGGGTACATGAAACCTTGGCAGAGGTGGCAGGGGATAAGGGTTGGTGGCCCTGGGGAGGGAGGGGGGCTATGATGATGGGGCAGGTTCTTACTGTGTCTCCACAACGTTCACGGACTTCTTGCCACAGCAGGGAAACATTGGCACCTGGCAGGGAGGAGGAGGTGAGGGCAGGAGCTGCAGGCAGAACAGTCCTCCCGGGTTCTGCACCAGCCACCTCCTCCCTCCCTCCCCGCCCCCTCACCTCAGCCCCTTTACGACCATCTTCCCATCCTGTCTCTCCTGTCCTCCCTCTCCTGCCGGTGTCACCTCCCCCACCTTCTACAACATGCTTTTTCTCATTGATTCAACACAGAAATTGAGATGCGGTTCGTTTGCCTGAGGCTGCTCCATGGGTCGTTGCTGAGGATTTGAATGCACTTTGACTCCAGAAACTTACTCCCCTGTTCTGCGTTGCTGTCCTAGCCAGGAGCCTTGTTACTATGTGGGGTCCTCACAGCACACCCCAGCTGAGCCTTCCTCAGCTCCCTCCATTCCTGCTCCTCTCCTCCTTTCTCCACTCTCTCTGGCCAGGCTGCAGATTCGCCACACACTCTAACCCTGGCCTCTCCTACCCTGAAATCCCTTCTCTCTCCTTCAGGCTTTTCATCCCATCACAGCTGGGGTCATCCATCCCCAACTCCAGGCCAAGGTTCTCACCCCAGGGCTGGATCTGAGCTGATGCTAACCCCCACCTGGTAGTTGTGATCACCCTCTGCAGAGGAGACCGAGTGACTCCCTGGGCGAGGGGTCCCCAAGTCCCTCCCTGGAGGCTGCTGTCATTTACTGCAGAAGCTTCTTTTTTGTCTTCTGGGCAGTGGGAGGAGGGATCAACCTGACTCATTCTCTGTGCTCCCCAGGTAGTGGATAGGGATGGATGATGGAACCACCACAATAACGGGCAGGCTGGGTGCCCCTGAGCCTCGAGAATGGCAGGAAGTGACAGTCTTGACTGAGAACTGCTCCCAGAGTTGTTTCAAGGATCAGGATGTGCTGTGGCCTCTTCTGGGCAATGTGGAGGCTGGGGAGGCGTGCTCGCTTGGCTTTGGGACTGGTTTGGCCTGACCTGGGGGTCTTGGATCAGGTGGGCAGCTGCCACCTGTTCCCTTGGTTTCCTGTCCCCACTGCTCTCCCTGTCCCAGCTCTGCTGTCCCTGGGCTTCTGACCTCACAGCTGTTTGCTTTGCAGAGTTTCCCTGGGAAATTGAGTCAACACCTTGGCAGTCTTAACCTCTCCTTGAACAGCAACTGGGTGTGGGTAGGAGAGTGTTCTGTGTGAATCTCATAGCAGTATGGTGGACTGGGAACAAAAATCTGAGGTTGACCTCCATGCCCAACTTGGGAGTGTTCTATTAGGGACTCAAGTGATGTTCTGTAGTGTGTGGAATGTCAATTTCCAATTTCTGGTTGCCAGCATGTAGAAATGAATTAATCTTGTATCCTGTAACCATCTTAAAATCTGATTAGTTCTAGTAGCTTTTAAAAACAGATTCCCTAGGATTTTCTACATAAACAATAGTGTGTGTGACTCAAGACAGTTCTACTTCTTTCCCAATCTGGATGTCTCTTGCTTCCTTTTCTTGCCATACTGCATTGAAAACAATCTCTAGTACAATGTTGAATAAAATTGAGAGTGAATCTCTTTGTTTTTGAACTTAGGGGGAAAGCATTCAGTATTTCATCATTACATGACATTGCCTGTGGTTTTTCTCATAGTTTTATTGAGAGGAGGAAGTTCCCCCCCCAAGTCCTAGTTTACTTAGTTTTTAATCAGGAAGGGATGTTGGATTTTGTCTGGTGCTTTTTCTACATTTATTGAAATGATCATATGGTTTCTCTTTTATATTGTTAATATGTATATTACACCAACATATATGGATGTTATATATCATTCTGTTAATAATGTTTATATTATGGTAAAATCTCACATTCCTAGATAAACTTCATTTGGTCATAGTATATTTTATATATTATGTTTTATTTTATATATATTATATTATGTTTTATATGTTATTGAATTTGATTTGCTCAATTAAAATAAAATTTTTAAAAAGATTTATGCATATAAGAGCTGGGGTACAGGCCAGAGGTGTGGGGGTGAGAGGATGCACCAGAGACAGAGTGGGGAGCAGAACAGGCAGATCTACTGAAATACACTGCTGAGGGGAGCAGCGGGCAAGACAGGAGAGGTCTGCTGCGCCATGTGTGGTGTCACCTCCCTGGACGGGGATCGAACTCATGCTGCAATGGCTGGTGATAGCTTGATTGCTCTGAGACTTTAACCCCTGTGCCACCAGGGAGGCCCCTGTTAACTTTTTTAGAACTTGCACATATCAGATATATTGCTATATAACTTTCTTGTAATGTTTTCTTTGTCACATTTTGCTATTAGGTAATTCTGGCCTCACAAAATGAGTTGAGTTATTCTCTCCATGATTTCCTGAAAGAATATGTATAAAATTAATACCATTTTTCCTTTCTTCTTGGTAGAATTCATAAGTGGTGCTTGTCAACCTGGGCCTGGAGTTGCCTTGCAGGAAAGTTGTTAATTACAAATTAAACTTAAAACAAACAAACAGATATGGGGGTATTTAACCTATTTAGTTCTTATTTTTCTATTGTGGTAAAGTACACATAAAATTGTCCATTTTGACCATTTTAAAATATATAGTTCAGCAGCATTAAGTACCTTCATGTGGTCATGCACCCACCACTATTCACCTGTGGGATATCCCTTTCTTTTTGAGTGAACTTTTGGAGTTCATATTTTTCAAAGGAATTTGCGCATTTTATCTAAGTTGTCAAATTTATTGACTAATTAGCTAATAATACTCCCTTATTATCTGTTTCACGTCTGTAAACCCTGCATGATATCACCCCTTCCGTTCCTCATATTTTTTTGTCTTCTTTGTTCCTTGTTCAGTTTAGCTAGGGATTTATCAGTTTTGTTGCACTTCTTGAACCAGTCAGGGATATGTCTGAGTCCTTCCTGCTCACCCTGGGATGGCATCTGCCAGGGAATAGTTCTGCAATCACAGGCTCCTAGTCAGTTTTTTTTTTTTTTTTTTTTTTTAAGATTTATTTATTTTATACAAGAACCGGGGTACAGGTCAGATGCGTGGGAGGGTGAGAGGATTCACCAGAGACAGAGCGGGGAACAGAACAGGCAGACTGATGAAATACACTGCTGAGGGGAGTAGCGGGCAAGACAGGAGAGGTCTGCCACGCCATGTGGGACCCTCGCCTGCCGGCCGGCAGGGATCAAACCAATGCTGCAGAGGCTGCTGACAGCTTCACAGCATGGCATTCAACTGCTTGCACCACCAGGGGAGGCCCTCCTAATCAGTTTTGTATGATTTTACCCTTAAACACATATAGCCAATCATCACCAGACATTTATGGACATTGTCAGCATTTAAGTGACAGATCAGAGCCTCCCCGGTGGCGCAGCGGTTGAGCGCTGGGTTGCGAAGCTGCCCGCGGCCTCTGTGGCGCCGGTTCGATCCCCGGCTGCTCCCCGGCCACCGGAGGAGGGTCCCACAGACCTCTCCTGCCGCCCGCTGCTCCCCTCAGCAGTGTGCTTCGGTTCTTCTGCCTGCTCTGCTCCCTGCTCTGGCTCTGGTGAATTCTCTCACCCTCCCGCGCTTCTGACTGTACCCAGTGCATGTACAAACAAACAGATAAATAAATAAATAAATAAATAAATAAATAAATAAATAAATAAAAATACATGCCTCTTTAAAAAAATGCATACATTGTACAAAGATGAAAAATGATGTAAGAATTATATAAAAAAATAAAATATTTAAGTGACAGATCAAAAGAAGAGGGGCCTCCCTAGTGGCATAAGGGGTTAAGTCTCAGCACTATGAAGCTCTCTGCAGCCATTATAGCATGAGGTCCATCCCTGGCTGGGGAGCTAACCCACATATGGCGCTGCAGACCTCTCCTGTCTCGCCCATTGCTCCCCTCAGCAGTGTATTTCAGTAGATCTGCCTTTTCTTCACCCCACTCTGTCTCTGGTGAATCCTCTCACCCCTGCACCTCTGGCCTGTACCCCAGTTCTTGTATACATAAATAAATCTTTAAAAACAGCAACAAAAGAAGAGATGACTCCAGAGTACCAGAGGTAATTTGGAAAACAGGGAGCTTAAAGAAACACTCTTACAGATAATGCTTTTATGGATGTAATATAGATATTGCACCCAAAACACAAGAATAGGATGCAATTCAATATTTAAAAAGAGTGAGAGAAAAGAAGAACATTTTGGCAAATGAAATAGGAAAATGTAACACATTTTCCTAGAATCATCCAAGAAAATAGAAGTAAAATATCAAGACAATAGAAGAGAAAAGGATCAATAGGAAAACCAGTTGAGGGATAGGAGAGTCAAAAAGAATAGAAACACAGAGAAGAAAAGCAAACTCACAATTTCCTTGAGCTCAAGGATCTAACATTGGCTTAAAGGGGTTCACTGAATGTCCAGCACTCTAAATGGCAAAAGATCTTTGCTATGAATATTCACTGCATCAGGAACAAAGAACATAAATTCTTCTAAAGTGAAAAACCAGTCACCTATGAGAAGAGCATCATATTGGTAGCAGAGTTAGCAACAATGGGTGCCTTTCAAATGAACCCAGAATTTTATATCCAGCCAAATTATCATTTCAGGCATGGAAAGATTCAGAAAATTTAACTTTGCTTTCTCTGGAAATTATTTGAGGATGTGCTAAGCAAAATATAGGTGTAAAACAAGAGAAACGGGAGTGGGGAATAGTAGTAGTGGAGCCATAGAAAAATCCCAGTATGTTAACTATATGGAGGCCAACCCCAGTACACACCTGTTAAGAGGATGGAGGGTCCTTGGCAGCAGATCTCTGAAACAGAGAAAACTTGACAGAATAATTGACTAGATGTAGAGGTTGAAGAAGATGAAGACTATGATAAAATCAAAAAGTACAAGCAAAAGGCAACTGGACGTCCAGGAAAAATATGAGAAAGAGAAAGCAATAGTGGCCCCTTTCCTGTCTCTGTAGTGAACAGTACTGTGTAGTTACCATAATGTAAGTCCTGTTTATTAACTTGCAACCTTCAGAATCAATATATAGATAAAATATGGAAAGCAAAATTGTGGTGAGGGGAAAGAAATTATATTTAACAAGTGAAAGCACAGGTTAGAGTCATAGAAGGAAGGCAAAGAAGAAAGTTGAAGGGAAAGGTAGGTGCTTCAAAATGCTCATCTATGTGGGATATAAAAAGATACTGTCTAATGTTGAGAAAAAGCTGTATATTAAATTTACAAATGTATCAGCAGATCTAAAAGTCATTTTGGGAGGATGGGGGAGGGTGGGGCCATTAGAGCAGGAAGGCGGTGATGTCTAGAACTGATAAACCAAGAGTTTGTAGAGAGAGAAAAAGGAAACTAGGCAGAAAAAAAAAATTCAAATGAAACAAACGTGGTTGCTCTGAGGAGCGAGACTGGAGTTGCGGTGTAGAGAAGTCTTGCTTTAACTGCTGAATAAGCACCTCAAGTTCTATTTAACCACATGCATATATTTCTTGGATGTTACAGAAAATGTTGAGCCTCAGCTGTGAGCCAGCCACAGTGCTAGGGGCTGAGGACACAGTGATGAACAAACCCTGCTGCTGGAAGCTGAAAACAGAGATCTTTAACCCCTATGTCTTTCTAAGGTGATTATTTTTCAGTTTTTTTTTTTTAACTGAAGTAACATGGGATTATAACATTATATAGATTTCAGGTGTGCATCTTCATAAATCAGCATCTGTATTTGATACATTATGCTCACCACTCAAGGTCTAATTTCATCTCCCAACATACATTTGACCCCATTTGTCTGATTCCACCCCGCCCCGCCCCCCGCCAATCTCTTTCTTACTCTCACTTCTGAGCTTTGACTTAAGAGTCCAGTCAGTGATTGCACAGTCTCCCTCAGGGGCAACCTCATCTTCACCTTGCCCAAAATACTACAACTCCTTTGTCATGGCTGAGCCATCTCCTCTCTCTCTGGAATGTGCCTTGTTTTCTGTTGTGATGATGCCCAGGGCTTACCTCTCTCTAGACACCTCTGGACTCCAACTCTTGAACCTCTGTCCTCCTCCTACCCTGCAACTTCAGACTCTGGGTACACAACCTCTTGTTGACCCACAATTAGAGGTGGGCAGGTGTGTGGCTGCTTACTTTGAATCTCTCATCCTCTGCACAGAATGTCTGGCACCCGTGGATGCTCAGCAACAAAGAAGTGAGTCCCTTACCCCTCTCACTTGCCAACCCTGCAGTTTACCCTCCATTTCTCACCTCAGATTCACACCCTGCATGACCAGATTCCAGGTGGCAACCACAGCCTGCCTGTCTGCCTTGTCTGTCTTTTCAATCTCGTGTCTCTTTGACCCGTCATCTTATCACAGAAATAGAAACCTCGGTCATTTGTCATCCACTTAGTCATGAAGGTTCTGACTTTCCTACTTGGGCACTGATCTTGTGTGGATCCCTTTCTGCACCCCCATTGCCTCTGTCCTCATCTCCCAGCTCCAAAGTCAGCACAAACCATGGACCTGCTCCCCACTGGCGCTTTCTGCACAGGCAGCTAGGAGGGCTCTCCTTTCATGCACAAGGAAATTTGCTCATGGTCACACAGCTATGAAGATCAGAGCCATGATCTGAACAGGTCCAATGGGCTCTCAACTCCATCATGTTAACTTCCAATAGGAAGTCTCTTTAGGCCTCTAACTGGACCACTGCAACCATACTCCTTTCCAAGCTGGGCTTCTCAGTGATGCCAGAGTGAATCCACTGAATCACATTGCTTCTGGTCATGTCCAGACACCAAGTGACCTCAAAGATCCTTCATGATCTCTGCCTTCTTTTTACATCTCTTGGTATCCTGGTTCCCTGCCTTTCCTCAAGCCCATGCCACCCATGGAGCATGGCACAGCCTTTTGTGCCTCAGTGCCTTTGCACAGGTTATTTCTAACACCCAGAAAATCTTTTTTGGCAAATTTCTACTCAAGCCTGACAGTCTCACTCAAATCTCCAGTGTTACCCTCTCTGTGACATACCAAGCTGTCTAACCTACCTTGTCATTTTTAGTCAATCATCCAACTCAGGACCTAGCACTACGGCAAACTCAGAAAGGGATGTGTGTGCTGTAAATGTTGAGGGGGTGATTTAAGGCATCTTCATAAACTTGTTACTCCATGGATTTGGGAAAAGGGATAAACTGCTCTCTGGTTGTTAATTCTTGGCACAATTTTTAATACTGTTGCATGTCCTCCTGGGAGAGAGGTAGGGAGACAACCCCATTTTAGTGGGGATCTGAGCGCCCATTGTTAGAAACCTGGGAGACCCAGTACCCTGAGGGGCAAACAGATGTGCTTACTGATACAGAGGAGGGTGCACAGCACAAAGGAGGTGCTCAATAAATGTTTGTTGAAGCAGACTCTCCCCCTATCCCCCCAAGCTCCAAGCAGTGACCCGGGACAGCTGGTTGTGACTTTTGGAGTTATCTAACTTGGGGTAATTCACCAGTCTTCCTGGGCACAAGGCCGCTTCTCTTTCTGTGTGTCCAGAAGCCCTGCAAGAACTCCCCGAATCTGCAGAAGCGCGCAGCAGGTTCCACCTGGGCGCGCAATCAGGGTCCATGCACCCCTCACTCCCGCTGGAATGGTCGGGCCTTGGTCGAAGTGAACTTTCAGGGCACCCCCCTCCACACCCCCAACTCCGCCCCCGGGCTTTGGAGGCAGTGGGAGGGGCCGGGTCCTCCCACCCCCTTCCGAAGCCCAATCCCTCACTGTCACTTTCCTGCACCGCGCGCGTTCCCGCCCCGCTGCGCGCCTGCGCACTCCCACCTGTCACCCCCATGCAGACCGAGGCTCCGTCGGGCGGGCTGGGAGAGGACTGGTGGCTGCTGCCCCTCGGTTTCCAGTGCGCTCTTTGGTGGGGAACCCGGCGGGCGGGGGAGATCGGGGGCTGCTGGCGCCTGTGATGTCGCCGCCTCTGTGACGTCCTGGCCGGCCCTGCCGCGGCCCCCCGCGGGCAGGAAACAGCGCTCTGGGTGGGGCGGTTGTTGGGGCGCCCCTGAAACGGTCCGATCCCACTTCCCAGCGGAGACCCCCTGCCAGGACCCCGCCCTCTGCTCTTGCCCACCAGACCCTGAGGGCCTAGGACGAGGGCAGCCCCTTAAGCCTGAAATCCTCTGCTGGACCAGCCTTTGCTCCTGCCCTGGGTACTCTGGCACAAGGTCGCTGCCCCTTCTGTGTGCCCAGGACTCCTCCAAGAACCGGGAGAATCCGTAGTCTCTACCCCAAGGTGTGCACGTGATTTCATGCATACACACTTGTGCACAGCTTCAGGGAACGTGTCGCCAGATGAGACAGGGCGCTCTGTGTGCCAGGGCCCCATTCTCAGGTGGGCCTTGGCCGAGGAAGCCACTCCTGAGAAGTCAGCCTGACCGGGGCAGGCCTCAGGGAGGAGGTGGCCGGAGGGGCAGGGTGCAGGCTTGGGCAGTGCCCAGACCTCCTCCTCCCCTGGGGCAGTGCTTCCCTGCGGCTGCCCGTGGGGCATCTTGCTTAATTGCTCTGATCCGCTAGTCCACAGCATGGGCTGGGTGCCTGGGGAGGAGTGATGGGAGAGCATCCCCACTCCAGGGCTGAAAACAGTTCTTGCCTGAAATAAGAGGCCGACTCAAGTTCCTGCCGAGAAGGCAAATGGAGGCAGCTGTTAGGAGTTCAGCAAGCCTGGGGAGAGAGGAGACAGCCCAGACCAAGAAACACTTATCACCCCAAACTTTATTGCTCACAAAGAGTTTTCTACAACGAGCTTTGCAGTACCAAGGCCGCAGTTCCTCACTTGCTGGGGGGGGGGGGGAGGGGTGTCTCCCTGGGGAGCAGTATGAACAGCCGGACAGAGGCCATGTGGGGACCAGCTTCTCCTGAGGAGTAATCTCTGGATACTTTCTCACCCCCAGGACTTGAGGCCAGCCAACCTGCAATGATTCACAGTTAATTTAATGCTACATGAGTTCTGATCAGCTCCTCCCAAAGGGGAGGCTCGACCAGGGTAATGGTGAGGGGTTGGGTTGGGAGAATTATACCTGGAGGTTTGTGGGGGGAACGTGTGGAGATAGATCAAAACAAGTCTGTCGCTTAATGGCCTGCTTGTGATCAGGCAGAGCCACCGACCGGCCCTCCTGGAGGGCGGCCATGAAAGTGCTTTGAGGTCATCAGAGTGCAAAGTGCAGCTGGCAGTGTGCAGGGCAAGTGACAGTGTCTCGGGCAGCTGGCAGGGCCTGACGGGGAAGCCGTGGGCAATCCTAGCACCTCTGTCTGCTGCTTTATGTCTATCAGGGCCCCTCCTCAGGTGGCTCCTGTAGGGTCAGCCTCAAGCCACCCCTCATCTTTTCAGATGAAGGTGCTGAGAGCCAGCCAGTTGTGCGGTGGTGGGCCTGCTGCTCTGGGGAAAGGGGCCAGCCACCAATGGGCACGTGCTGGGGGGCTGAGAACCGTTCCACTTGAACAGCCTCCATGGGCTTTGGCTGAAGCCAAATTCAGGTGCTGTCACCACCTGAGAAGTGTGGTGTGCGCTCCCACGGAGACGTCCCTATGTTGATCATCCTTCCCCCTGACATTGTCTGAAGTGTTCCAGATCCCAAGGAGGGAGTTCAGTGCTAGGCACGGGGGTCAGAGGCCCCCCCCCCCACACACACACACTGACTGAAGGGTAGGACTCCTGTACTGGACCTGGGTGTGGGTCCTCTGACAACAACACCCTCACAACTGCCTGGAGGCCCAGGGGCTTGTCATATCCTTGTGACTGGGCCAGAGGCTGCTGCCAGCAAGCAGTCAGGCCATCTTGTCTGGACCAGAGCAGAGAAGGCCCCCTGGGTTTCCCATGGGGAGAGGCCTCCTGCCTCTCCGCTCCTCCTCATGTAGGCACAGGGTATTCTTGGTGGGGTTAGGCAGGACCCAGGTGGGAAAGCCTGGCAAGTGACTTGCTAGCCCCCACTTTGCTGGTGGTAGCCCAGGTCCTTGCGCCGAGGTAGGGGCAGCAGATCCCTGGCAGCAGCCGAGCCTGTGTCTGAGCGGCAGCACGGAACACTGAGAAGGAAGGCTCTTCTGGCAGAGTGGAGCCGGTGGTGGAGCTGGGTTAGGGCCTGTTCTCTAGCTGGCCGTGCTTGACCCTCCAGTTCCAGGAGAAGCTGCCGTCAGGGGCCAGGGTGCACTGCAGGTCGATGCCCGAGTCTGGCACTTCCATGTCATAGCATACAGGCTGCCCATCCTTGGTCACCAGGCTGAAGGCTGCGGCTGGGATCTGGGGACAGAGCCAACCAGTGGACTGAGACAGCGGCGTGGGGCTCAGAAGCTGCCTCAGGGGTAAAGCTCATGGTCTTTCCTGCCAAGCTGGAGGTACCTCCCTTCAGCCAAATAGGCAGTCAGGGGTCATCTATCTGCCTTTGATTCTGCGGGACTTGGAGAGTCTCACTTGGCTCAAGCATGGGTGCTGGGGACCCCTCACCCACCACTGCCTTGAGATCCCGGGGAACATGGAGGCCAACTTTTCTTCCCTAGTTTGCCATCTCTACTTTTTCAAAATCTTCCCCGTGGAAGGCTGGGCCACTGGCTTCTGGGACTCAGCCTGAGGTACGTCCTTGTCCCCTTACCTGGCTGCTGATGCCAGTTGCGATGTCTCCCACCTTGACCCGGTGGAACTCCCGGATGTGCAGGTGCTCACCATTGAGAGACTGTATTTGGACCTTCACACCTAGAAGTCAGGGAAGGTGCCCGTCAGGACAGCACTGTGGCTCTCTGTGGAGCCCTGGGAAGGGGGTAAGGAAGCTTGCTGTGAGGAAGCTGAGAGATGACCTTCGGGAGGGAGTGGCCCTGGTGTCACACACCCTCTCCCCAGCTCTTCCATGCCCGGAATTTCACCTGCACACTGCAAAAAGCTATAGCTGGCTTCTAGGGGAAGTAGTGTTCTAACTTGCACACACAGCAGGAAGGGGCTGGACACAGACTCTTAAATGAGACTGTGGGCATTGCAGATGTGACGTCCCCTGAGCGAGAGTGATCCCGCACTGTGCCCATCACCAGTCTGCCACAGACCCATCTGGCAACAGAACCCGCATAACAGTGCTGGAAACTCAGCTCTCCTCTTGTTGTCTTTCTCCAATTCTGATCTTGACTCCCACGAAGGAGCCAGCACACCAGCTGCTGAGTTGGTGACTGACATGCTCCTGAAGGCCCGTTTCTGTTTCTCCTCAGAGAACATTCAGCTTCTGACTCCAGGCCAGGAGAGACCGGGCCTCTGGGACCTCATCAGCAGCCCCGAGGTCTTCATTGCCGCACCAGGAAGGGCTCCTGGGTGGCCTGAGCCTTTGCTCTACGCTGACTTACATTCTGGGCACCAGGGGCCTTTTGTCCCTCCCCTGTGCCAGGGGAAGGGGGCCATAAACCTCTCAGACTCCCTAGTTCTAGGTGGACTGGGTGCTGTGGGGGCTCTGAGCAGGCGAGTGCTGGACTTTACCATTGAAGTAGCTTGGGGTGTCGGTGGGCCGCCCCCGGGCCAGCACCATGTTCCAGCTGGAGCTTCGAGCCTCCGCCTGGCTGTTCCAGGAGTGCACACCGGAACTTAGGGTGTCCCTTGAGCTCTGAGAGGCCTTTGAGGGATTCTGAAACACAGGGTGGCAGACTCAGGCCCCTGGGCTCAGGGTATCGTCTCAGGCCTGGGCCTCATTTGGGACAGAGAGGCCGGGGGCGCTCCCCTGGGCCTAGGCTGGAGCACGGTGCCACTGGGCTCATGAGGGATAAGTTCATGAGGGGTCCCTGGGCTGGAGGAGGGTGAAGGGTAATTCTAGGGGACCAAAGCCCAAACCTCCTTCTCCCCCACTATCCCTAAAAGCCAAACCATTCCCGAATCCCAAGCCTGCTGAAGATGGATTTCTCACACTGCACGGGTGAGGACCCCTCCGGGGGAAAGGAGTGGCCACACCACCCTCTCTTCACCCAGGACTTGAACACAGCCCATCCCCCTGCTGGCCTGGACGGAGCCCCCTGCTCTGAGTCCTGGAGCCAGGCCCGGCTGACTCACCTTCTCACTGTCGTCTGACAGGGACAAGCTGTCAATGCTGAGGCAAGAGAGAATCTGCTCCTGTTCCTCCAGAGAAAAAGGCTGGGACAGGCTGTTCAGAAATAATTCTGTAGAGAAGAGAAGGTGATGGTGAGAGACGGGGAGGGGTCCGGTTGTGCTGTCAGGGTTCTCCCCGCACACATGGGAGCTGAGCCCTGAGGGAGGGGCTGGGGGAAAACCCGAGCTGGTGAGAAGAGGACAGAGCACAGGCCTTGGCGGGGGCCAGGGGCCGCAGCACCGTGGTCCGTACCTATTTCCAGTTGCTGTAGTTCCTGCTCGGGGAGGGTGGCTCTCCGCTCCAGTGAGCTGGGATTTTTGGCGGCGGCCGGGTCCAGGGAGAACAGTGGCAAGGGTTCCCAAGTCCCAGACTCCTCCTTGCCCCAGTTCAGGCTCGGAGACTTGTTCCGCTCTGGGGGCTTTGGGGGTAGAGGAGGTTGGAGCTGAGGGGCCCCACCTCTTGTGTCTTCAGCTGGCTGGGGCCTCGGGGCCCCTGTGGAGAGCTCCCTCGGCTGGGCACGCAGGGTCTGGTGACAGAGGACTTGGCTTGGTGGTGCTCGGACTTGCTGAGGTGGTGGATGTCTTGGTTCTTTATATTCTCCCCTCCAAGGGCTCCTCAGGCCTCCCACTGCAAAGCAGACGGCACACGTGATGAGCAGGAGCACAGCAGCAGACACTAGGCCGAGCCAGGTGGCCGTGCCTGCACAGAGGAGGCTAGGAGCGCGCTGTGGGGGTGAGGGCGGGCTCACCCCAGGGGCCTGTTTAGGAGGGCAGTGTGTGAGCTGGGCCTCTTCTATGAGATGGCCTCCTGTGATGGGGATTGGACAGCATTTCTTTTATTCCATTTTCCTTCTGAGTAACAGCAGCAAATTAGAAATTACACAATTGGCTTCAGAGAGGGACTTTGCTAATAGTAAAGAGAAGGTTTGAAAACAGTGGGCCTCCCTGGTGGCTCAAGGGTTAAGACGCAACCTATGAGGCTGTCCGCAGCCTCTGCAGCACGAGTTCGATTCCTGGCTGGCCAGGGAGCAACCCACATGGCGCAGCAGACCTCTCCTGACTCGCCCGCTGCTCCCCTCAGCAGTGTACTTTCGTCCATCTGCCTGTTCTGTTCCCTGCTCTGTCTCTGGTGAATCCTCTCCCCCACCCCCACCTCTGGCCTTACTCCAGCCCTTGTGTGCATAAATAAAGAAATCTTTAAAAACAAAAAACAAACAAAAAAAACTAGTTCTGGGGGTACCAACTCGGGGCTCCTGGCTAACCTGGCCTTCCTGACCTTTCTAACCCCTCCTCCCTTCCCCAGTCAGTGCTTCCCCAGGGCTGCCTTTTCTCTGGAGTGGGGTATAGTTCCACCTGGGGCCATCCTTATAACTACAACTTTTGGGGTGGAGGAGCTGTGCAAGGGCTCATCCTGTTTTTATTCCTTTTTCACTTCCATAACCATGGCCTTTCCCCTGCCCAGCCCAGGGTGACATTCCATTGTGTGTGATGTGTTACTTTGGGTTTGGCGGAGTTCTGGCGAAGTACGTGTTATTTTTATCAGTTTTTCGTTTACAAAGAGCCATTGTGTTGCAGGCCTCGCACTGGGGTCACACTATGGTCTGAGACCCAGCTGGCTGTGCCTCGGTGAACATGGAGTTGCTTAAACTTCTGTGGGGTGCTCCATGGGGATCCCTGCCTTTGGCTGCTCCACTCTCCCGGGGTCGGGCACCTGAGTGCACCCAACTCCCTCCCCAAACGCCACCGCAGTGCGAGTTCTCAGGTGTGTCCCCTGTGGCTGTGGCCAGGGTGCTGTCAGCAGTGTGCCCTCAGTGGCCTGGGCCCCAGGTCCTACATGTCTACCCCAGTGCTGCCAGGTACCCACTCTCAGTGCCCCGAGGCCACTGCCCACATCCCCAACACTTGGCATTACCAACTTTCTGGTTTTTCCCACTCAACAACTGTAAAGTGTTGCTGGCTTCACCCCAAATTCTCTGATTATAGCAGGTTTGAGCCCCTCTGTATCACATACTGTAGCCCACCCCCTTCCTCACCTAGATATTCCCGATGGGCCTGATGTTGGAGTCACCCCCATGCTCTGATGGGGAAACTAAGGCACCGAGAGGCCAGAGATCTTGTCCCCTGTCTATGCTCCTTAAGGGGCTGAGCTGGGCTCTCACCGTGCTGCAGTGCCAGGCTGACCGTCCCCCCTAGCTCCAGCGCCGACGCTCGCAGGGCAGGCTCCTTCCGCAGTCCCTCCTGGATGGCCTGGGCTGTGAGAGGTGCACAGGAGGGGGGGATCTCCTGCACAGGTGGAGGCTCGCTGGCAATCTGGGGGTCAAAAGGCAACATGTAAGGCCTGCCTACCCCTTGTTGCTCCTCCCCACTCTCCTCTATACCCGTTACGCAGCCAAAATGGGAGGGTCCTCAAGGGCTGGAGTAGCCTGAGGTAGAGTGAGGGCTAGGCCTTTTCTAATAAAAGGGAAGAAGGGGCTAGGTCGATGCTCCTGACCTCCAGGCCCGGCCTGTCAGGAGGTGGATGGAGGCGGCCCTGGGTGCAGACAGAGAGCACTGACCTGCCAGGAACTCAGGGAGATCCTCCCCAGGGAGATCCCCTTGGCCCCTGGGGCTTGGATGCAAGTATGTCCGTCAGGGCCCCACAATTGCAGCCAGGCCTTCTCCCCTGCTTCTTGCTCCCATGAGCCATGGAGGAGCAGCCACAAGGGAGGCCGCCTTGAGCCCATGGCCTGTGCCCCTGGCCCTGCTGGCGCCCGGGCACTGTCCTGACCTTGAGGCAGAGCGGCCCTCGGAAGTACTGGGTCCACGGGTGGCAGCCATTGAGCATGTGCAGCATCATGCAGCAGCTGCTCCACACGTCCACCTTGGCGTCGCAGGGCTTGCCCATCACCACCTCTGGTGCCATGTGGGTCTCTGTGCCCGGGATGTAGTCCCCTGAGGAGGCAAAGGCAACGCAGAGGAGTCAGCCCCGAACTCTCCCGGGCAGGAGCTGCAGCGATCACCCCGGTCACGTCCTGCCACACCTCAGGCTTGTCTCTGTTAAAGGACTTTAAAGAAAGAGAAAGCCTCCAAACCCTTAGGCCAAACCCTTAAATAACTTCTGGAAAATGGGGATGGGTCTGGTCATTGAAAATGGCAGGAGACTAATTAATGGTATGATGCTCCTGAAACTTTAGTAAGTGGGGAAAAAAGCCTAATGATTGAAAACTTATAAGAATAAAAGGCTGGAAGGATTGATGCCAGATGCTAGCAGTATTTTTTTCTAGTGATTTGTAGTTTTTATTTTTATTTGGCTCTACTTTTGCACAAAAAACTATTGGAACAGAAAAAATACTTTTTTAATAGAAAACCCCACAAAAATTATTTAAAAATGGAGGTGGGTGCTTATGTTCACTTTACAATTTATCAGTACAATTTAGTGAAAAACATGACACATTTCTAAAGGTTTATTTTCCCTTTGGTCAAAATGAAATCATTTTGTGCTTACTGTTATCAATGAAAGAAAGCAGGCCATAAAAGTGTGTGATAATGGTGTAGGATAAGTGAATTGGTCAGGCTTTTTAAGCCACTAGCCGCTGCGGCTATCACTTGGCCCTTGATCGTGTTAACAGAGGGTGCTTGGGAGCGTGGGTGAGGGGCACGAGTACCTGATTGTGGACCTGGAGAATGGGTGTGTGAGCATGCCTAAGTGTGCACACCTGAGCTTAGAGGCAGGGGCTATAAGGGCAGAGTTACTCAGACGGCTCTAGAAGAGGCGAGACCACGAGAGGATGCCACAGAGAGCCCAGAGAAAGAGTAAAGGTTCCTGGGGCCTCCCAGCTCCGCTGCCTGGCCAGAGCCTGCCTCTTTGCATGCCAGCCTCCCTGCCTGGTATACCTCTGAACCTGGTTTCCTGAGAGAGCATTAAAGCCTGAAAGATCCATTGAGGGCTCCAGGATTCTCCTCCGTCTGCCCGAACAGACAGTGAAGCTGCCTGTACTTGCTGGTACAGATGGTCTTTGCGCAGAAAAAAAAAAAAAAAACCACCTGGAAGGAATTACCTAGATTTTCACAATTACCTCTACTTTTACATCAGCTAACCCTTCAGCTTTTCCTTCCCCTTCCGTACCAGTTAACTTTGTAGTTGCCAATTATTTTGTAATAGGCATTAGATATTTTAATAACCAGAGAACTATAAGTTAAAAGAAACATTTCTCAAGCTCCAGAGCCCTGGCCCCTTGGTCAGCTTTCCCATCTGCTTCCAGACACTGCTCTCAGAGGCAAGGGAGAGTTGAGGTCATGGTGGGCCAGGAGCACAGCTGCCATGAGAAGGCCAGATGAGAGGGATGGAGCTGTGGGGGCTCTAAGACAGGAGACCTGGGACCTAGGGCGAGGTGCCCAGCCTTTTCTGTCCTGTCTTTATATAACAGGAACATCAGGAACCAGCACCTGTCAGGCGCTACTGTATTAGCATAACAAAACTTTATAATCTGCTTGTAGGGTAAGGTAAAAAAGTATCAGGTTTTTCTGCCCTCCAGCCATCAGGATGGATCCCTGCGGTCCTGAATGCAAGCCTGATGGTGGGCATCTGGAATAGGGTGTGGGCATGCGTAGATGGGATTCACCTGGGCTGAGACTGGGCTTATAATAAGGGCAGCGTCACGGGGACGCCAGCATAAACAGAACGAAGCAGAACCATGAAAGCAGCAGAGACCACCAGAGAACGCTGGAGAGCCCAGACAGAGTGAAGACTTGCTGGGGCTCGGGAGGCCTGCCAGCCTCCTGGCCCCCAGCACCCCTGCCTGCCGTGTACCTGGTAAATCCCAATAAAAGCCTGAAAAGCCACTGAGGCCTCTCTAGGAACTTTCCTCCTTCCCCCGCCTGCTCGGATCATAGAGATCATGCTCCGTGTCCTGTCCTGCCGCTACAATGCTGTAATCCACAGGGATTGCTGTGGCTGAAATCCATGGTGGCCATAAAGGACTGCCCCCCTCTCACTGGCATCTAGGAAATCGGGAAATTGCAGGAGGAGGCTTACAGCTAGTGCCTAGTAAAGGCTGCTGGCTGCCGCCATCTTGGAGGAACCGTGGGGCTTACCTGTGAGTAAGGACTTCCCCAGGCCGTCCGGTTGAAGGCACATAGCGTGGCCAAAGTCACAGAGGGCTGCACGGCTGCCGTCGCTGGACAGGAGCACATTGTCAGCTGCCAGGCCGCCCCGGGGAAGAAGAGGAACAGGTGAGTCACAGCCCCAGTCCAACCTGGACCTTCAACGAGGTAATATTTTGGCTGACCCTACATGGTGGCTGATGTTTCATTAGTCATGGAAGGAGGAGGAGGTTATCATTTCAGACAAGGGGCAGGCAGCAGGCAGGATCTCTGCGGGTGAGGGGACAGGGGCAAGTTTACACCTGGGGACACTGCCACTCAGTTCTGCTGCTGCCACCCTCCCCCAGCGGTCCCACCCACTGGAAACAACAGGGCCTGGCTGAGGACTTGGAGAACACATGTTCCCTTTCCACTGGCACAGCCATGCCAGCCGGATGTAGGCCCTGCTGCTGGCGATGACCACAGGCCCAGAAGATAAAGGAGAATATCAGGCAGAGGGGCTGAGGAAGGAGCTGCTGGGGTCAGGGCAGAGGGGGCCTGAGCCTCACCTTTGACGTCTCCGTGCAGAATCCTCTGGGTGTGAAGGTATTCCAGCCCTTCCAGGGCCTGGCCCAGGTAGTACAGGGCCCGGTCCTCCGGCAGACAGCCCTTTTGCTTTATGAGCTGGCCCAGTGAGCCACCTAGGAGACCAATGGCCAGTCTTTACAGGGAGCCTTCAAGCAAATCAGGGTCAAGGGCTTTTGAAGGACAGGTGGTAAAAAGCAGACTTTTCCTTCTGATGTTACAGGGTTGAGAGGTTACAAATGAATTGACTGGGGACCAAGGTCAACCTGGGCAAGACTCAGTGAAACCCTTGGCTCTGCATTCTGAGGGAGGTGGGGCCTGGCTCCTTACCTTCTAGCAGTTCCATGAAGATGTTGACCCAAGGGCCCTCCCTCACAGCACCATACAAAGGGACGATTCTGGGCGACTTCAGTCCCGCACATGCCACTAGCTCCTCTGCCCGAAACACATCCACTCGCACCTGCAAAAGCCCAGAGGCAGCAGCGGATCAGGAGGAGGCCCAGGGAGGTTCGGCATCTTGCATAGAGACTAGACTGCTGCTGTTCCCAGTGATGATTCTGAGGCCAGGCGGTGCCTCCCCCCCCCCCCCCCCCCCCCCCCCCCCCGTGTGCCTCACTAGACCCTCAGAGACCAAGCTGTGTGCTGCATGCCCTCAGGATGAGGGGCAAGCCCAGTACTTAAATCCTAACAATGCCATCAGTGCAATAAGGGCCAGAACTTTTTTTTTTTCTCATCGGTTCTAAGGAAAAGATGTTGAATGAAATGACATTATCTGGGGCCTGCTGTGCTTGATTAAAGTTCTGCAGTGCTGACATGGGAAAACAGAATCCCATCAAAACTAGAATCTTATCAGACTCGGGCAAACTGCCCACCCTTAAATCTGCCAAACAGACTAACCACCCCCCCCCACCCCCGCCCGGGCCCAAGTTCCGCGCAACTTCTAGACATGGCCCTCTTGGTTATCAGCATCCACGTCCACTCTTCAGATGCTGGGTTCTGAGAAGCCTGGTGCTGCCAGGGCTCTGGCCCCTCCGCACCTCCTCAGCACTCCCTAACCTCTTAGAGTGATCGGCCTTCCCTCCAAGGACCGAAATAGCCATTCAGGTGAGGCAGTGCTTGTTTTATTCTGTCTGCAGCTGTTTCCCCAGCATCTGGCCAGAGGCTTCTGGGGAGGTGTTTGGCCAAGACCTCTCCTGCTGTGGACTGCTTGGCTTTCTGCAGGGATCAGTACGGCATGGTGGGAAGAAATAGACCTTAGATGGAAACCGCTTGGCCACTTCCAAAGCTGTGTTTCCCATATGTGCATGGTGAGGCCAGTGGTGTCTGATCCCGGTGGAGTGAAGATTTAGAGGGATGAGAACCAGCACTAGGCCCAGCCACCAGTGGGTGCTCAGGAAATGCTAGCTCCCCACCTCCTGAAGTTCAAATCAGAGCAGTTTATTAAACACTTGGGTGTCCTAAGAGACTTGTACCCCCTTTCTGGTTGCTAAGGGTTCTCCAGTTAGCCCCGAGGCATCACCAGGGGGCGCCAGCGGCACCAAAACCCACAGGGAAGAAAGGAGTAGGGACCCACAGCTTGAGGACCCACTGACTTGGCAAATAGGAGCTCTGAGCCTTTGGGGCTTTGGGATTTCTGCCAGCTGGTGGAAATGTCTCTTCTGGTATTTAAATAAGATCTGCTTTGCTTAATCAACTCACAGGAATCTCAGGTGGAACTCGTTCACCAATAGGACTTGTATGAGCCAGTTTCTTTAACCCACTGCACCCCAAGTGTGAGCGGAGGCCCCTGGGGCACTCAGGGTATCAGGTGACAGTGATGACATCTGCAGGACACCCTGCAGCTGAGCTCCAGAGGGTCAGTGTCAACATTAGAGTGTGTTTCTTTCCACGCCTGACGAAACGAAGCTAGGGTGTTTGGAGGTTGCTGTGACAGTACTTGGGGGCGGGGAGAGGGGGTGGCAGGATGTGGAGCAGGAAATGAAAGTTATGGTGTCCAATCTGATGTTAACCTTTGAGAAGTTGGGTGCTGCACCCCCACCCACCGCCGCAGGCATATACCCTATTCCTCCTCATGACTGGAAGAAAAGAGGAGGAAGTTTTTTTCCCACTTAAGTGGTTATTCAAATGGCTACTGAGTTGTTAGAATAAAGATGTGTCCTTTGACCTAAATGCTTAGTGAATGGAGCTGTTAGGGTACTTGTTCTTAGCTTGGGACACCGGGAGAAAAAAATGACTGAGACGCTAAGGGCCGTGAACCAAGAAAGTCTGGGTACCTCTGCTTTAACTTTTAGGAAATCTGTCAGTTCTCTAGAGTGTAAAAGTATTTCCAACCACCCAGACTAAAGGGATGGAGACACTTCAGAAGGTGCTTTAGAAGTTGGGGGGAATGAGTTGAAAGGGTGGTCCTGGGGGAGCCAGAGGCTGTCTGGTTTAGGTGGCTGTGGTCTCGCCGGCCTTTCGTCTCTGGACGACAGGGTCCATCTGGAAGGGGCTGGGCTGTGATGAGAACGGTCACGAGAACTAATTTTAATATCCGCTTCCCACATGGCAGGCACTGCTCAGTTCTTTAGACCCTTTTGTTATTCACATCTCACAACAGCCTCTGAGGTGTATTCTCGTTGCCCCCACCTTACAAATAAGAAGTTGAAGCCTGGGCAAGCCGCTTGCACCAGGTCACTGGGTCTAAAGTTCCCGAGCTGGGATTCTGGTTGGGGGAACCTGACCCCAGGGCTGCCAGCTACCCCGGCTTGCCGAAGGTCTTTCCAGACTAACTAGTTCTTATATCCCAAATGTTTTTCTCCAGACATTCAGGAGCGGGCACACCCAGGTAGCCGCATGCTCAGCAGCCATCTGACTGCCAAATCCACAGGCCACTTCCCTCTGTCAATTGACTGCACAATTGACACGGGGAAGCGGGGGAAGCAGATTTTCCCTCATGAAACTTTCCCCTCTTATTTACTGTGGTATTGTATCCATTTTACTCCATCAGCGAAAACGGGGGTAACAGCAATTCTAGACATTCTTTTAAAGACCTCAGGAACACGGAGTATGTGAGAGTGAGACACAGCCCTGGCTCATGTACCCCAACCACTCTTAGAGGTCCCTCTTATTTCCTCATAACTGTCCAGATATTCTGCCCCCAGTCCTAGCTCCGTTTTCCTTCTAAACACTTGTTCAAGCGGACCTCAACATGTCCCCGGCTGATGGCTGCTTTTGCCGCCTCTGTGCCCATAAACATCCATTCCCCATGACCAGCTGTGCGACTTCAGGTGCGGTCATGGTTGATTTGACCTGGCCAAGGCCATGCTTCCCAGGTCAATGGCAGAGTCAAAGGAGGCTCTTGAACTCCATGTTCCAGCCAGATGTTGAATGGATGGTTTTTAATCCTCCTTGGGCCACAGACCCCTTTTGAAAATCTGATGACATGGACCCATTGCCATAAGAACGTAACGCATACACGCACACACACACACACACACACACACACACACACACACACACACACACACTCACTCACTCACTGTAACACCCAAGTTGCAGGAGTCAGAGCCCTGGATTCACCCACTGGCTGGAAGAACTTCCACACTAGCTGTTACAAAGTGCTAGAGGGCTGTGTATGCACTGACAAGGGAGTCGGGCTGGCCCATGGCATAGAATTAGTGAGGACTTGGTAGAGAATACCTCTAGAACACAAGCTTGTTTTTAGAAAAGAAACAATGACTTCTCTGTAATTGTCAAACAAGTTTAAAGAGATCTCAAAGGGTACTAGGAATGGGGGGCCTTGCTGTCTTGGCTATCATTTGAATTCTTCTCTAATGAGCCTGTATTTGCCAGTAAGAGATCAAACAAAACCTTTAAAGACAAAAAGCAAAAACCCTACTATAAACTACTGGATCTGGGCAAATCAGCATTTGATCTGGGGCCATGGATGTTCTAGAAGGAGGAGTGCTGATGTCATCACATACTAGCTGTCTTGGCTCCTCCCCAGGGGGCATCGGAGGATGCAAGGACTTGCTCTGACCCTCTGGCAGCCTGACCGCTGACCCCTGGCCCAGCCTTTCCAGTCTCTACCCCCTGACGGACCCGTTTCTCAGCTATTCCAGCTGAAAATCCTAAAGGATACCACTGGCACCGATCCTATGCCCTCGAGTGAGAGAAAGGCCGTCTGCCCAACACTGGCAGACGTGTGGGCTGCCAACACGCAGATAACCCCTGAGCTCGTGGAGGGAGGAGCCAGCCCCGGTGGGCTTGGGCCGCAGCTCTGGCGCTGGGAAGTGCTCCCCTGATGTTTGGAGCTTTTCGATGGTCTTGGGGAGGTGAGAAATGGAGTATTTGTTGTCTTCTACTATATTGGGGTTGTTTACCTTGTTGCCTGGGACTCTCCTCAGCAGGGGAACAGCTGAGCAGCCCAGTGACTAAGCACCCCAGCACTGGGTGTTCATCTCCAGGACACTTCACACTCTCTCGCCCTCCTCCCACCACCTCTCAGGAGGGACAGCTGGGCCTTCTCCGGTGGCCCGGGAGGGAGCTGCAGCTGAGGAGGTCAGGCACGTGGCCTTGGCATCCGAGTGGAAGATGACCCAGGCTGGCGAGAACTCAGCAGTGTTTTGGTCAGTGGGGGGTGGTGGGGTGGAGCTTGTTTATCTGACACAGTATATCTGGAGTTTGGGGTAATACCTGCGGATAGTCCCCTCTCTCATCCCCTCACCCAGAGGCCCAAACTCTAGGACTCTAATCCCCTGGCTCACTCCAAGCCAGGGGGGCCAGGCCTATTCGCATCACAGTTTTTCTCCTCGCCCCCTGAAGACACAGGCCCCCAGGACAAGGCTGGTAGTGTCCGTTCTCCACCGGCCCGAGCATGCTGGGCCTGTCTGGTCTGGCTGTTTGGTCGCTTTCCTTTTGGGGATTAGCATGTCCTTGACATAAGCCACTTGAAAACAGTGCATCTTTTAGTTAGCTTCCTTCCCCCTGCGACAGGCCAAAGAATTGGCCTGTGGAGATGCTTCTGATTTCTGGCTTTCAAGGTCTGGGTGCGAGCGCTAAGGCAAGTTTGGGCCCAGGACGAACGAGGTGAGCGGAGTCGGTGTGAGAACAGATGACTGAAGGAGAGCTCTCGCAAGGCCTGTGGCCCGGCTGCTAGACCTGGCTAGCGCGACTGGATGGGAGGCTTAGTTCCAGGTCCAACTATGTGGCTCTGGGCAAGACGCACACCCTCTCTGGTCTCCAGTGGCACATCAGGGAGATACAGGAGTGGGAGAGATGACTCATGCCTCTGCCTCTAGGCAGAATCCCAGGACCTCGCCCCCCACCCCCCTTCCTGAAAGTGGTGCAAAGCCAAAATCTAGCCGAGTCAGACCAGCCTGGCCTTCTGCTAAGTCTCATCTCCTCTCAATGTCTGTCTCCCAGGACCTATTAACTTGGCTGACAAGAGGCAGACCCCAAGCTCAAGCCAGATCTGTCTGACTCCCAAAGCGGCCCCACCATGTGGTGTGGGGGCTCCAGCTCAATGTGAATTTCCACCTTCCAGGTTTTGTCTTGCTCCCAAGGGCCCTGGCATCAGGAGTGGCCCAGGCTGCGGGCACTTACGCTCCCTCTCCTGTACACGCATACCAAGCATGGCTGGCAGGCCAGGGCATGTGATGGAGACGGCTTCCTTCCAGTCCCTGCTGATCCGGGTGGGTACCGACAGCCAGGCCTGTCAGCAAGTCAGACCATGGGTGCCTGGTGACCACCCTTGAGGAAAGCAGAGGGAATGCCACAGACCATCTGCCTGGCTTCCCTCTCCAGCCCCTGGAGCCCAGCATAGCTTTTCCTGCTTCTCAGTTTGGTGTACCTTCTTCACAGCACACTGGAAGCCGGTCTGCTTGTCCTCCATCCTGTGCACCTCTCCAAAAGAGCCGCTGCCCAGGCAGGGCTGGCGCGTGGCCCAGTGGACCTCCTCCCGGTACTCATAATCCACAGGCTTGAGTTTCTGGGGTTGGGAGCAGAGACAGCAGTTTCAGAGCCAGGGCAGTGGCGGGAGGAAGGGTTTCAGCGAGGCAGGCTCTCCTGCTGGTGGGCCCTGCCAGGCTGCTGGGCTGAGCCCTCACCAGCAAAGACCCCTGCGCTCCTCCAGCTGTGAGGCCAGGCTCTGGGCAGCAGGGCCACAGAGGGGATTGACTATAGGAAAAGAGTGGGGGAGAGCTTCCAACGGGCTGTGAGGCCTGCTGATCCTCGTGTTGGAAACCCCCTCCCCAGGTTCGAGGTTGTGGGACAGAAACACAGTCAACAACATCGACAACGACAAATAGAACTCAGGAGCTAAGAGAGTGGGAAAGGCCACTGATAAAGGGGCGGGGTAAAGGGATAAGTAAGGTCCAAGGTGGACGGAACGTGACCCAGAAGTCTGCCTCTGGGAAAGCCATTGACTGCCTGAGTTCTCTGGCAAGAGCACAAGTGCGGGGGGTAAAAAAGGGGTGCCCTGGGGACTTGGGGGCCCAAGGTAACACCTGCAGTGGTGTTTGCTTATTCCTGTTCTCAGCATATCTATTATTCATAGAGGACACACAAACCATTCAGCGATAACAGGGCTGCTACCCAGAAGAATTAAAGGTAGAAACGGCCAAGAAGAATGGAGAGTGAGCCCAGAGGGAGTGGGAGACCCTGCTTTTCATCAGCGAGAAGCACCCTTCTACTCTTATTTGTAATCACAGCACGATAACTTGATAGATACACCCTCCCCCACTGTTGGGGACATGGGCCTCTTCTCCCCAGCAGGTCCTGCTGCTCTCCCCTGGCAGCAGAGGCGACATGTACGCGTGTCTGGGGGGACTACTTACCTCGGTAAGCAGGACTCCCTCGCTCTCCTCAGTTTTGGGGCTGGGCTCCTGGGGTCTAGAGCCCCCTGCCGACCAGGTCTTGGCGAGGCTGGCCAGGCTGCGGGCCTGGCCTGAGCTCACGCTGCCTTGCAGGGCGTGCACGAGGTATTCCTCCACAGAGAACTTCTCACACTTGCCGCGAGGGGGGCTGCTGGGCTTGAGGTGTGGGCCAGGCTGGGGCTGGTGCTGGCTGTCTACACAGGCCAATTTGCTCAGGTGTGGGCCGGGCTGGGGCTGCTGGCTGTCTACACAGGCTAGTTTGCCCAGGAAGAGGGACTCCAGGGGATGCGGTTTCCAGGGCTGCAGAGGGTGGAATGGGAAGGGGTGGGGCAGCCGGCTGTAGGGGAAGGGGTGCGCGGGCTGGGGCAGAGGGCCTGTGTACTGCGGGTGGTGGAGCTTCCACACGTGGTTCAGACATTGCAGGGGGCTGATCAGTTTGTGGAGTTCCGATCGAGGCAGGGCTGGCTTCAGGCCCTCCCCAAGTTTCTTAAAACAGAGTTGGCTGAGGTCTGGCTCCTTCAGAGGCTTGGTGAACTGGGGGTTGTTTCTAACATACGGGGTGCTTAGCGGAGACTCATCTTCCTGTGGGGAAAAAGAGCTTATTAGGATGTGGGCCAGGGTCCGGTCAGCGTGGTGTCTCCAGACGCGGGGAGCGCGGGGAGCGCGGGGAGCACCGGGCGGGGCCGTACCTGCACGGGGACGGTGCAGCTTTCCTGTTCCGGGGTTCTGGGCAGGGGCTTGGCCACGGCCACTCCCGCCTGCGCCAGGGACTTGGAGCTCCTCTTCTTGCGTTTCTTCCGGGCTTTGCTGCGCCGTTTTCCCTTCCAACACACGCGGGCCATCTTGCCTTCGGTTGCGTGCGCCACATTGTTGGGGATCTGATCGAGACTCTCCGACTGGCTGTCAATAGGGGACAGATAATCTGAGAGTGAGGAGGCAAGAAGCTGAAAAGGTGCAGGTAATTGCTGTAGAGTCAGACACACCCAAGGCGGAACCCCAACTGTTAGTCTTTGTGTGAATGCAGGAAAGTCTCTAAACTCCAACAAGCCTCAGTTTCCTTGTTTCTAAAATGGATTTATTTATGCATACAAGAGCTGGGGTGTAGGCCAAAGGTGCGGGGGGTGAGAGGATTCACCAGAGACAGAGTGGGGAGCAGAACAGGCCGACTGACTGGAATACACTGCTAAGGGGAGCAGTGGGCGAGGCAGGAGAGGTCTGCTGCACCATGTGGGTTGCTCCCTGGCCAGCTGGGGAATTGAACTCGTGCTGCAGAGGCTGCGGACAGTTTCATAGGTTGCATCTTAACCCCTTTGCCGGGAGGACCTTTATTTATTTACTTTTGCAATCTTTATTAACTTGTAAAGCAGGGTCAGTATTCTGTTGCGGTTTAAATGAGGTTTAAACCAGACGCCTAGCCGAGGGGCATCTTTCGAGGAGTGGCCATTATCACTAAGGCAAGGGACACCCTCTGCTCTTTTGAGGGTGCAGCAGACACCCAGTCCCCTCACTGCTTTCCCAAAAACGGCCCCTGGAGCTCCCAGGAGAGGCACAAGTGGGAAGGCCACACCCTGCGCAGGCCTTCTCAGCGCTCGGAGCTTGTTTCTGCTGCCTCTGGAAGGAGGGACAGTTGCGTTTGGTCCCCTCAATTGGTTCTTGGGGAGACCTGGTTGCTGTGGGGATGTGAGGAGCCACGGAAACACAGACACCCAGGCAGGGCTGGTACCAGGGATCTAAGTTGGCTCTTGCCCCTGCCAGGTATTCAAGGCACTGGCAACAGAAGTTTCTGAAACAGCCGCTACCAAGTAGCTGTGGAGCAGACTCAGCCTCAGCCCTGTCCCATGGGCTCATCCTCTGGCCCCCACAAAGGAGGCAGACTCACCTCAGTTCTGGAGGGTGGTTAGGGGCTTCTCTCAGGCAGCTGAAAGAAGTGGATGCATCAGAAACCCCCGGGCCTGGGCTAAAAGGCATCAGGGCAGGTAAGGAATCTGACTAACCCCAGCACATCTAGGCTCAAGTGCAGCAGCCGGCCCTCAACCTATTGATCCCGAGCAGGGTCCGTATTCCAGGGCTACAAGCCTGCCTGGTGGGAGAGGGAGGAACTGTTTCCTGCTTCAACTTTTAGTGGCCAAAAATCTTAGGGGACCAGAAGCCTGGGAACAGTCTGAGTCGCCTCTGGCTTCCTTTCTGTGACTTTCGTCTGTGGAGACTCCCCCAGCTGTGGAGTCTCTGCCTGCCCGTTTCCAAAGCCTTTTCCCTCGGGCGTGTCTCACAGGAGAAAAGACACAGCAGGCCTCTCCCGGAGTGGCCCTCTGGTCTCACACCAGTGGGAAAGTGACTCCCATTCCCAGCACCCTCCCTATTGATGGGAAGCCAGGGGGAGCAGCAGGGACTCTGAGAATAAAAATAAAACGTCAAGCAGATGTGGCCAGGAGGCAGTCATCCACAGGCCATGAAAAGCTTTTGAAAAGCTTCTCTGGCTGAGAGAGCAGCTCAGCCAGGAAAGTCTGGGCAGGTTCCAAGAGCTGAACCACAGGTGCTGGAGGAGGGAGCCAGGGTCACTTGGGAACAGTCTGGCCAGGGGCGGGGCGAGGGACCCGATTCAGTTCCGGCCACCCGCTCTAGCTGCCTCCTTACCTGTACTGTTTTGACCCAGCAATGAAAATCCGTTCAGAGAAGGTGGGGCTGAACTCTTGGCTATTCTCACCTTTTAAGTAAAGGAAAAGGGGTTTGATAAAGGAGGAGAGAAACAACAGCATTAGGAATTCAGCACTTAGGAGAGAGACATCTGACAGGAACCCTAGAGGGCCACGCCCCCTCCTTCTGCCCAGAGGGTGGCCCACCACCCTCCAAGGGCAGCTTCTTTGCAGCGTCCGGTCCCACCTGCCCCTCTGGAGGGTCGAGGGCAGAAGGCATGCCTGCACTGTGGGGCTGTAAGGCCGCCCACCTCACCTCACTTACTGTGAGGCTGAAGTCAGATGGTCTCTGCAAGACCCTCAGCTGGTGCCTGGCACACAGAACAGCTCACTAGAAATACGCTGCTGTGTGTTTACAGGTGAGCATATGTGCCTGTGTGTGTTACTACCATTACATCACTCACTCTATCTAAATTTTGATTCTCTCATCTCTCCCCAAAAGCCAGCCAGAAGGGGAAGATGAGTAAATGTGGGGAAGGGCTATCAGGGGCTGTCGGTCTTGCTAGGCTCTTCCCTGGGGAACCTCCTGGGTGGAGGGTGAGTGTGGGCAGAGGACTCTGGGCTCCACTCAGCCTCCTGGGATTCCTCAGCCTCTGGTGGTGGCCACTATGCCGACTCATTTTGACGTATCGTGAGTAGAATCAGAAAGGACCAGAACAAGTCTTGCCCTGCGGTCCCTCCACTGGCTCTGTCAGCTCAAGAGCAGGTGTTCATTCTTTGGGGTGGGGCCACCTCAAGGTGGAAGGGGGTGAAGGGCCTACTGGCCTCACAGGGACTTTCCAGGAGACCTGGCCTTTCCTGTCCTGGGCCTTTCAAGAACAGCTCAGGCTGCTTAAGGCCATAGCAGAACATTGAGAGCTTGCTACCTCTGCAGAGTGCCTCAGACCCACACATTCCTGCCCCCCAACCCAGCTCTCCCCTGCTGCTCTGGTCATGATGGGCCAAAGCATCTCTCTGCGTTCCATGCCCCAGTTCCCATCACAGCGCCCCCTCCACACTGACTTGCACTTTACCTCGCTGTATCTTGGGAGAATCGCTCTTGTGGCCACCCTGACCTCCCTCTTACATAGGGGGACCCCTCACCCGGGTTCCTCTGCCTAGCCCCCTCTGGGCCCACCCAGCTGCCCTCTCCGCCAACGCCCCCACGTGGTGCCTTACATTCGGCCTGGGCGATGATGGAGATGTTGGCCAGCCCTCCCTCGGAGCCTTCCTTGGCTGTGCCTTTGGTAATCACGTCGTTCAGGATCTCCCACTTCCCGCAGAACACGGGGCTCTTCTCCACGGCCTCCAGCTGGTTGACGGCGCTTTCCTTCTTCCCCACGGCCTGCGTCTTCTCCTTGGCTTTGCTGAGCTCCTTCTGCTGCCCGACCGCCGAGCCAGGGGCGCCTGGGCAGGCCATTTCCATCACTGCCATCTCCCAGGCTCACACTCTCCCTGAGAGAGACCAAACCCAGAGCGGGTCAGGAGGGAGGGGAAAGGCAGGGGGTAACATCTCTGCCGCCTTACACCACACCCATTCTCCCAAACTCCTCATGGCAAGAGTCGACCCCTCCCCTGCTCTCCTCGCTCCATGGGGCGAGCCCCAGTTGGACAGCACACCACCATCAACAGACCCTCTCGCCGCGCCCCCTCCGTCCTCCGGGACAGCCTGGCACAAACATCTGGGTTGGTTCTTTCTTGCCTCTAGGAATGATGGCTGTATCTTTTCCTGTTGTGTGTGTGTTGTTTTTTTTTTTTAAAGAGGCATGTATTATTTGTTTGTTTGTTTATACAAGCACTGGGTACAGCCAGAAGCGCGGGAGGGTGAGAGAATTCACCAGAGCCAGAGCGGGGAGCAGAGCAGGCAGAAGGACCGAAGTACACTGCTGAGGGGAGCAGCGGGCGGCAGGAGAGGTCTGCGCGCCATGTGGGACCCTCCTCCGGTGGCCGGGGAGCAGCCGGGGATCGAACCGGCGCCGCAGAGGCCACGGGCAGCCTCACAACCCAGCGCTCAACCGCCTGCGCCACCGGGGAGGCCCCCTGTTGTGTGTTTTATGGTGAACTTTGCTTCCCAAGAACAGGATGGTGGGTCCAAGCCCCCAAACCATTAGTCTCCTCGTTGATGCTGCACAAACCTCGCCTTCTTAGAGGGGTACACTGGCCAGAAGGTTTTTCTCCAAGTCGGGAGGGTGAAGGTATTTTGTTCCCTAGCAGGAGGTAGATAGGTGTGTGTATAGATACAAACATAAATGTATATACTGATAAATTTGTGAGAGAGTGTGTGTATATTTGTATAAAATTTTACGAAGTCTAACAATCAGCACACAAATGGCAGCGCTGGCGCTTGGCTGTTTTCCCAAGATGCATCTGTCTGTGGCTCTCCAGATGGAACTGACAGGCTTCCTTCTCTAAAATCCAAATTGTTGAACATGTCACCCGGTGTCATTTTTCTTCCAGACAACATTAGTGGCAGGGTTGACATTAGAGCCCCCCACAGCAACCTCCGCCTCTGGAAACATGGACAAAGCACGAGGAGTCACCTCAGGGCGGGCTGGTCTGTGCAAACAGCATGGGGCCTGGGGTTGGCATGCAGGAGAACGGCACCCCTCTGAGGTTGTTCTGGGTTGGGAACCTTCCTAAAGACGGGGGCTATGAATTCCCAAAGGGCAGGCCCTTCTCAGGTGCAACCTGCTTCAGACTGAGGAGGCACCCAACGAGACAGGTTTCTCCTCAGTCGCTCATGGCTGGTCTTAGGCGGTTACTGGCAGATGTGGTCTCCCGCTGGACTCCATACACCCGGCCCAGGATCACGCCTCAGTCTGCTGCTGGGGCAGAAAGGCAGATCACGGGAAGCCAAACCTGTAGCTCTCTGGCCTTTTGCCCTATCCAGCTGGAAGCAGTGGGAAGCTGGGAAACACCAGTTCTGACTAACCTGCCTCCCCAGGAATGCCACGGGAGACGGTGCCAGCGGCAGGGGGCAGGGTAAGGTAGGCTGGCCTTGTGGGTCACCACTGATTTGATCCTTACAGTTCCACCTGCCAGGACCTCCTGGCTTTGAACTCTGACAGCTCCAGCTTTAAGCAGGGGTGCCCAGATTTGGTTCTGCACACTGGGTGCTGAGGGGGCTGGGCGGGCAGTCTCATGTCACCTGATGATGTGAAGTCTAGGGGGCCGCTAACTTCAACCAGGTGACAGTCCTCCAAGCCAGGCTATGTTAACTGTCCTTTCATCCTACCTGCACCTGCTCAACCCCTTCCACCTCCAAGAAGGAATCCATCTGGGGCCTAGGGTAGCTTCGACCTCTCTCAGCCTTGGTACCAGGGGAGCTTGAGATCTTAAAAATCTAAGATCTTCCAAACCTAAAAGCATTAGAGATATGTGAAGAGAGACCTCAACCTTACTTTTTAACCTCCTCATTTTCAACTTGGAGAAACAGACGCCTGACTGGGCGGAGGCTGCCTGAGGTCTTCCAGCCTGCACGTGGCACACAGGGCCAGGCCCCAGACCCCAGGCTGCGCTGCATACTCCCCAAGGGGACTGCGCTCCAGGCAAACACAGGGGCAAAAAACGTGGTCCTCCCTGGTCAGAGGGCTCCAGTGGGCAAAGGTGGCCACTGTGGGGGGAGCACAGCGGCGCACAGACAAGACCACTGGTGCTGTCTGAATGAGGGAAGCAAAGGTCAACATCCAGAGACACAAGGACCCTGAGCACCGATGGGGTCCCATCTGATGAGCAGGACATGAGGTCAAGTGCTCAGAGGTTGTTCCAAGGGCACCCAGATGTTCAGATGTAGCTGTTCTCGGGTCACACAGTCTATCTGGGCCTGACATGGCTCATCCTGAGCAAGCGCTCCCCTGGAGAGCCTGCAGGGCACTCCCTCATTCCCGAAGCTGTCCTTCCATCTTGACCGTTAGGTGGCCTGCTGCCAGAGGCCCGGTCCCCCCTCCCTGAGCTGGCCAGACTCCCTGGCCTTGGAGGAGGAGGTGAGGTCGCGGTGTGGACCTTCTCTGCAGCTCTCTGATGACTCACCTAACAGCCTGGCGGACAGAGGGGAACAAGGAGGCTGCTGAGGACCTAATGGGCAGCTGGCATCTGAGCTTGTGAAGGACATAAGGAACACGGCTATCCTCACCTCCCAGGGAGAGCCTCTCCCATGACCTCTCCCATGCCTGGCTGTCCTGGGCCATGTGACCATGACTCAGACCCTCGCCCACAGTTCCAGAGGCTCTTCGTGGGATACTCTGGCCCGACAGCAGCTCTCCTCCACAGCGCACGCTTGCTCTCTCCTTTCTAGAGGAGTCCTTTTCATCTGAAAGACGGGGCTCTACAGGGAGCCTGAGACTGCTGCCAGTGGCTTTCCCAGCCCTGGGATTTGGTCCTGGGCCTGTCACCCCAGCTCACAGCCCATTGCTCTGCTCCTTCTTTCACCTGTAGCTCGTGGGGAGTGAGGACCAAGTGGGTGTCAGCTGTGTCCGTACCCTTGAAGGCAAGTCTAGACCCTGCTCCGTTACTCAGGCTGGACTCTCCCCAGCTCCACTGAGATCTGCATGCCCTGCGCCCCTCTGTTCTCTGGGTCAGATCTGCTTGGGCAGAGTGGCGATAGCCAAATCCACTCAACTACAAGGCCATGAAAACATGAAGGGAAGAAAGTGAGTTCGTGCAATGCTCTTTTTAGAGCCTGCTGTATGTCCATGGCCTGTTCTCTCCTCTGTGCTGTCCTGATGACCCCCGGAGAAGTCTGGGGGTACGGATGACTGTGATGGTACCAGATGAACCTTGGGCATTATCTGCAAGGCATGCCCTCTGTGGACGAGACTCCTGGGCTCTGAACTTAAAACTCAGTTCTGTGAACCCCAGAAACAATTGCATTATTCTGGAGAAGAGGGCCATAGCTTTCATCACCTTCTCCAAAGGTCTCACTTCCCCCAGAAGTTCGTGGTAGTCTCCTCAGGAGGTCCAGGCCAGGGCTGAATTAGGCTTCTCTCTTCCCATCGAGGAAGAGCTGGTTAACACAGGACATTCCAACTTGATAGCAAGTTAGAATAACCAGAGGAGTTCTTAAAATGCACTCACTCCAGACCTACTGAGTCAGTCACTGGGCGGCAGGCCCAGAATCCACTTCCAACAAGTTCTCCGGCTGATTCCACAGCCAAAGGGCCAGGGACCGCCGTTTGACCCCTCTCCCAACTGTAAGTCCAATATGGCAGACACTGGCCACATGGGGCTATTGACATTCAAATCAACTCAAATACAAATTTAAAATCAGTTCCTTAGTTACACTAACAACCACACTGCACAGTACAGAGCGAACATTTCCATTATTACTTCAGAAAGTTCTATGGGATGGCTCTGGTCTAAGGATGTGACAGCAATGTTTTCTCCCACTGTGAAATTTCTGTTTCTGAGATTCTGGGACGGGAGTGGGGTTAACTGGACAGTACAAAAACAATGTTTTATATTTTGATCTTTAGTGATGATAACCTTTTAAAAGTGTATCTTATTTCAGTTTTTGTAAGTACAGTAAAAACACAGACTAGGAGCCAGAATATAGGGGTTCTAGCCTCGGCGATGTATTTTTTTAAAGCAGGAGGACCATTTTTGTGAAATGTAATCATACCTCATTTCTTAACATATGAAAGAGCTCGAAGCATGCAACTGACATGCAATTCTCACTAGAAAACAGCTGCTTGGCTAAGGAAGCTGTGCAAGGGCCTGACAGGCTGAGCTTCCCTTTATCCAGTGCGGCTCTCTGGAATGCTAGGTCTCTGAGGAAGGGAGTAGGAAAACCAGTGGCCTGGGAAATCTATGGAGGATCCTTCTAGTTTCCAAAACACACCTGACTTGTCAGGATTACTCGAGGGCTAGGTGACTCCAATTCAGAATGACACTTGTCATTATTGACTAAGCATCTACCATTATTAATTTCATTTCCAGGGGTGAAGACTAGACTCAGAGGTCAGGGTGGGGTGCAAACCCATGCTGTTGCCCCCCAAGCCTGCGTGCCACACTTTGAGGCCCCCAAGTTGTTCTGGGGACTGGATGAGGCAGAACCCGTGAAACACGCATCAGTTTGCCTGACCAACAGGAGATGCTGAATGAAGTTCATTCCCTGGCCCTTCACCTGGCTCACCCATGCCACCCCCGGGACAAGGGGCTTTACCCAAGGCACTCAACCCTGAACTGGGTTCTCTGGACATAAAAGGGAAAGAAAAATCTCTGTCTTAGAGGCTTATCTTGAAAATGTCCACTGAGGGTTAGGGCAGACAAAGGCAAACCCCTCTCCTTACTCTTTCATTTGGAAATAGAAAATTATCCTCTGAATGCCCATGGAGGGACATATAGCAGAAGTAGAATGACTCAACTTCCTTAATATTAGTTGAGAATCAATCTTATTCTGAAGCTTCCTCTTTCCAGCCTACACCGAGGAAGTGGACAGTCCCTTGAGGAGCTTACATTCTACTGGAGGAAAGAGGCCAGTCGCCAGAAAATGACAACACAACACAGTTGTGCAATGCTAGAGGCAGACACACAGCAGATGTGATGGAGACAGTGGGGGGGACCTAGCCCAGCCTGATGGGTGTCAGGAAAAGCTTCTGAAAGACTTCAGAGGCTCTGCAGACCTCTCCCGTCTCGCCCGCTGCTCCCCTCAGCAATGTATTTCAGTCAGTCTGCCTCTTCTGCTCCCCCCTCTGTCTCTGGTAAGTCCTCTCACTGCCCCCCTCTCACACCTCTGGTC